AGAACTGCCTGCTTCTTAAACACTCATAAAAGGAGGACCTTGTGGACAATTCCCTTCTTGAGTATCCTTGGGCACCCCCTTGAGGCTTGCAAGACCAATGCTGCACTGAATTCCAACTTGGAGTATCATAAGAAGATAAAAAAGGGAAGTGGACAAGGGGACTGACAGGAAGACTAGATGTGATCTTCCTCCCACTTCCTCCCATCCTGCAATTTTTTTCTAGATGGGAATTTTACTTGTCCAGTTGGACTGCTTTAGCTGGAGTGGGAAAGAAATTGGAGGTGGATCAAGATATCTGGGCCTCTCCAACAAACTTCCCTTTCCCCCAAATGTCCCCTCCTGTCTGCTTTGATTCAAATCTCCTCATTCCAAAGAGCTGCCCAGTGGCTCCTACCTGATTAAACCAGTGGTGCCACGTGATGACCTCCTCATCAATGGTGAGTGTTTGGCCTGCAGAAGCCTGGAGATCAATCACACCGACTTTCACAGTGGCAAAGGATTCATTAGCAAAAAACTTCCAATTGATAACATCAAATCCAGTCACCATCTCTCCTTTTTCATTGAAGGAAACTTTGTTCTGAGCACTGTTATTAAAGGAGACACCTCTGAGAAACTGATGGAGCTAGAGTGAAAATGGAAACAAGAGGTTTTAAAGGATTGCAGTTTAGCATACAAGGTGAAGTTCTAGCATCAGGTGGTGAATTATTAATGATAGCTTAAAAGAAGTATCAAGCCATAGGCCCATAAAAGTTTAGAAAGCTATATGATACAATTCAACAAAGGAGAGGTTCAAATGGGCTTTGACATTTAAATAAACCTGAAAGAGTTAAAAAGGGATAAAAACTAATACTGGACCAGTCAAGTGAAAGAAAGTAACTACTTCAAAACCACCCTAGATCTTATTTTCTTAACTGAAAAGGCAAAGAGAGAAACTGTATGACGTGTGTGCATCAAAGTCTGAAAAATTAAATACTATTTTCTCAAAATCAGACTATGCATGTATAGCACGTAAGAAACCCCTCAAAAATTGTTCTCCTGGCTCTGTATATAGACAGCAATAGATAATGCAATGAGGAAGGTTCTCCACTTTGAGGGATCCTCAGATACAGTTGTGGTGCTCCATTGGATTTCAGAATATCCTGCAAACAGGAGAGCTGCATGCATGGTTGCAAAGCACAGGGCTGTAGAAACTGTCCTAATGTTGTGTTCAGAGATGTCCACTAAATAATTATATTTAAAACAATCATGCTTTATTAATTTATATGAAAGCGTGACTTTGGTCTCTAAAGAGGCCTGTTTAGTAGCTCCAATCCCTTAGCTGACAGTTGTCAGCTGCAGCACCTAGAAGATAACCAGGACTTTAGCATTTATGGATGATGGAATTTTAAAAACCAGAATGTTTGGAATTTTTGATAATAACTGATTAAAGTATTTGTGACCTAAAGAACTGGGACAAGAGGATCTGTTCCTATTCTAATGTTTTAGAATGCCTAAGTGTACACAAACCCTAAAAGAAGGGGGCCTTCTTTCAGCTTTCAATAGGGCAGCTGAGTTGTCCCTTTGGAGAGCAAGGATAAACCCTAGAACGTGATTTTGGATTATCTCCAGGCTAGATAGAATATCCACATTCCATCCCCAGTCTCCAGCTCCATAAAGGAGGTGAGGAATGACCTTGCTTTCCAGCAGCTTCATTGCTGGGTCTATCAGCCATCCACCTGTGGTGTGGGAAATATGCAAGACTGACCCTAGGATCCGTAGCACTGTAGCTTTCAGCATTACCAAATGGAGGTTTCAGTTGAAGGTATCCTTGGAAGTAACTCGCAGGTATTTAAAGGAGCTACATTGTTTGATTGGGATACCAAGGATGCTCCATGAAAAGAATCTAGGCTTTTTCCTTAAAAAAATCATTACTTCAGTCTTTGTATAATTTATACTAATTTTTCTACCTTGCGATATTGCCCTAGTTCCCGTGAAAACCTTCTGAAGCCTATTTTAGTTTGAGAAATCAGGGCAGTGTCTTCAGCACATAACAAAATTGAAATTTTCGATTGATCCAATGCTGCATTTGTAAATTAAAGTCCTGATAAACACTCTACGATATTGCTTACAATAGCAATGGGACAACATGCACCCCTGCTTCACATCCTTCCTGATGGAAATTTTGTTGGTTAGGAGGATAGAGATCCCCACCCTAATTTGTGTAACAGTGTCTCTGTGGAGCTCTCCTAGCAGAAACAGAAGTCATGTTGATATTCAGTACACGCCCATATAAACACATAAACCATAAAATGGTCTTGAATGTGTCTGTTGAATCAAGGAACACAATTTATAGTGACTTTGCATTCCCTTTGTTCCAGAATAAGCCAAATGATAGATTGTTTGACAGTGGTCAATAGTCCTGAGACCAAGTTCCAATATAGAGGTCAGGAACATTCAGGAAGCAGGAGATTTTCTACAACCTCTCCATGTGAAGCACTTATTGTGCATTCATGTTTTCCCATTTGTGGTTGTCCAATTATTCTTTGGAAACATTCTGAAATCTGTGTGATTTCTTGTATTTACATCATCTCCTCTTTTCCTCCTCTCCTCTTTTTGTTTTTTTACTTTATACAATACATTTTAATTCTTTTTCGATGGAATGCCATCTCTTCCAAGTCAGCTCTCTGCTCATTGTCTCAGTCCAATGTTCTGACTACCTCATTGGGGTTCATGTTGGAGAAAATACAATAGAGCCCATGCCCATCAACCTTATTCCAGTTCTCTCCAAAAGTTCTGTGAGGTTTGAAATTAAACTTCTTTGGGTTGCAGTGGATGCTTAAGAGGTGATTCCAAACTACTGGGCTGGTTTGCATTAGTTGCCTTGTCGGGCGATTGGGTGAACTTGCCCTAAGCATCTTCATCTAAACATCATGAAGTATTTATTTGCAGTGTTCACATTTCTTTCTCCTGAAACCAATGATTAATTCCCAGCAAGCTCATAATTTTTCCAAAAATGTAAGATGTATGACTTCACGTTCTTGGTGAGCTTGCCCAAGGTTTGTGCAGCACTCAACTGGAATGGAGATCTCCACAATTGTAAGCAATGTCCTTCTTCCATGCAATATGCAGTAGCACTTTGCACCTGGCATGGAAGATTGGTCATGGGAAGCACAGCAGGAATGCAGCACTGCACAGCCACTAGCTGTGTCCCTCGTCTGTGCTACGTGCACCAGCTGCTTGTGTTGCCAGTTGCTCTACTTTATTCTGTGAGCATTTGTGGACTTCCTCTTGGCTTGGGTTGCTCTGTAGTACTGGGCTGATCAAGAGGGGAAATCTGCAAATGCAAGATGATTGCCTGCGGTTGATCCAAACAGTATTAGCCTTTCCTTCTCTTCATTAGGATGAATCATGTTGGTTCCCTCTGAAGTCCCCAACCATTTATGAGATGTGCAAAGAATTGGGTAGGTGCAGGAAATCCCCTGGATTCCTTGGTTTTGGTTTTGCAGACTCCAGTCCACTGAGTGGCAAAGCCCAACTTCCTGGTGAGCATGCCCAGGGTTCCTGGGGTACTTGGCAGGAACTGAGCACCACGTGCTGTGCAAGGAACATCATTCCTTACTATCCTCTGCTGCTCCTGGCAGTAGTGAGTGGAGAAGAAGTTTGGCTAGCAGAAATGGGGCAAGTCAAAGCTGGCAGTCTGACCTAGAAGTAGCCACCATGAGAGCATCTCATGTTGCCGTGTCAAAGAGCAGCAGTGCAGGGAATCCTCTGCTGTAACTTTCTGGGATTCCAGTTACACTGCATTACTGCTCCCCACCTGCTCCTGGCAAACACCTCCAGGGGCTTTCTGGTCCTGCAAGCATTTGCATGGTTAATCCGGCTGTGATTCTGACAATAATAGGGAAGATAAGATGTTCAAAGTACTACATATGGCAGTATTCATCAGGCTTCTAAGAAGGAAGATAATCTGCTTTGAGTGAACTGACAGAGCACCCAGGGTATCATTTCATGCCCACTGCTGCTCTTACAAGCAGGCAGTATGAAAGAAGTTTGGCTACCAGGAATGGGACAAGTCAAAGCTGGGAGTCTGAGCTTGAAATAGCCACTAGAACAGTAGATGTTGCTGTGGCCAGCAGGGAATCCTCTGCTGCAGCTTATTGGGCTTGCAGCTCCACTGCATCATTTTCACTCACCTGTTCCCTGCAAGCACCTCCAGGTGTTCTCCTGCTCCTGTAGGAACTTGCAGAATGACTCCTGCTCTGATCCTGATAATAAGTAGGAAAATAAGATGTTCTAAGTTCTACATAAACCACTTGCAATACTTCATCAGGCTTCTTCAAAAGGAAAATTATCATCTCTGATTGAACCTAGAGACCAGCCAGGGTAGCTTGGTTGTTCAGTAACAGGGTCCATATGCACATGTGCATCAATCCAGAAGCATGATTTTGTGTTTTTTAGTCAGCATTAGCTGCTACAGAAACATTCTAACGTCACCAGAAATTATAAGATGCTGATGGACTTCATGAAGAGCAACTAAAAGTGAATATGTGTGTGTGTGTGTGTGTGTCAGAATTTTCATATTTACATGATTTTTCCTATAAGGTACATTTGAAGCATTTCCCCTAAGCAGCAGAACCTTCTAGAGCAGGGGTTGGCAATTAATTTTCCTGTGGGGCCACATGAGAAACTTTGACAGTTATGAAGGGCCGGACCAATACACTTACAGCTCTGCTCAATGTAAATCTCTATAAAAACAGTAAATGAAACATTACAATGAAACAATGAAAATGTGGAGCACAGAACAACACTATTTAATGAATATTCCTTCAAAATAAAAGCAGTGCAGTTGCATTGCTTGCATCTACATTACGACGATATATATTTGCATTGACTTTTAATTTGCCAGTGACCTCATGCGGGTCAGTCAGGGTCAGCCATAGGGCCGGATGTGGCCCGCAGGCTGTACATTGCCCAGGTCTGGTCTAGAGTATAAATGATATGAAAGGACAGCCATGCATTTTTCAAAGTTTTCTTTTAATTAGCTGTTCTCTGTTGTTCAGCTCAGGTCTCAGCATAATAATGTAGCATTTTGGGAAGAAGATGCAAGCCAGCAATCCTGAGCTAGAAGCCAAGATGGAGAAGATCTCCACAGCCACCATGGATTTCCCCTTGGTGCTGAGGTAAGAAGGAACAAAGGAGAGCCAAACACTGCAAAAGACCAGCATGCTGAACGTGATAAACTTGGCTTCATTGAAACTGCCAGGCAGCTTCCTGGAGGGGAAGGCCACGGTGAAACTGATGGTGGCGAGAAGGCCCATGTAGCCCAAGGCACAATAAAACATTATCATCGAGCCCTCGTTGCACTCCAGTACTATTTCTTCGGCCATGGAGAACGTGTCGACATCTGGAAATGGGGGTGATGTTCCCAGCCATGCAGAACAGATGCCCACTTGGATGAGGGAGCAACAAAGAAAAATAGCATCAGCCTTCTCCTTTCCCAACCACTTCCTCATCCTGGATCCTGGCTGAGTTGCCATGAAAACCAGAATGACTAAGAGGGTTTTTGCCAGCACAGAAGAAACAGCCACTGAGAAAATGATGGCAAAGGCAGTTTGTCGGAGGAGGCAGGTGAGTATCTGAGGTTCACCAATGAATAGCAAAGCACAAAGGAAGCAGAGGAGGAGGGAGCTGAGCAGAGTGTAGGTGAGCTTCTGGTTGTTCGCTTTGACTATGGGAGTCCTGTGGTTCTTCACGAACACACCCAGCACCAGAACTGTGATGAAAGAAAAGGTAATGGCAAGGAAGGCTAAACTGAGTCCCAAAGCTTCTTCATAAGATAAGAAGGTTATAGTTTTTGGAAGACAAAAATCGTGATTCTTGTTTGGATATTTTGTATCTGAGCATGGATTGCAATCATTCATGTCTAGAAAGGAAAGGAGATGAGAGGAGAGGAGAGGAGAGATGGTGTTGATCTGATAAAAAGAAGACAGGCAAGTGAAAACAAAGAATTCAATGTCATACATTTTAGTATCAAAGGAAGTCCCAGCTTTCTGAATACAGAAATGGAGCAGTGTCAACCTTAGGCTCTCAAATGAACTGTATTTGGTCTAGTTTTTTAATTTAAATATCACCAATCAGGGCAATCTTCTGATGACAAGCTATTTCCCATGATGCAGAGATTTTAAAGTCAGCATAAGTGTACTGCCTTCCAGTAACCCATCCAACTGCCTATGGGAGCATAGATAAGTAGTCTATACCTGCCTGGATGTGGACATAATTGGCCTAGCAGCCAAAGCTGGGGAAAGGTGCCCCAAACTATGTGGTCCCTCTGTTTCTCAAGTGATTGTTAACCCTATCCTGATCCATTATGTGGAATGCAGCCCTGTATAGAAGAGGTGAAATATCACTGCTCCAGGGATGCGGACCATACCTTCTATACCTACATCTTCTCTAGATTGAGACTCAATGTAGCACCCTTTATCAATTCCATTACCATGGCCAGACACAGATTCAGAGTATCTGCTTCCTCACCTGGGATTTGTGAAAAGGAGGAAAACAGATGGTGTTTCCTGCAGTTTATGTGCCAGGCAAGCCTCTTTGGGAAGTTCATTCCACAAGTGTGGTACTATAGAGATGTTGCTTTCCTTAAGAAGCACCCACCGCACTTTTGCAGGGACTCCCAAAGAAGAAACACTTAGGATGATTTTGAAGTTTGGGCAAATATATATGTGTTGTTGAGAACTTCCTCCCACTCAAGGTAGAGGAAGGCATGAGAGCATCAGCTATCCTCTATGTAATACTAACAGGGATGGCCTGAAGGACAAAATAGTATCCGCAGGAACACTGGTGGGCAGTGACCCATTCAATACTTGAATTCTCAATTACAATGGAGACAATGGTTAATTGGAGCCAAACATGTAAGAATTCCAGAAGAAATTATTTAAAAAATCAGTCTGCAAACACCTTGAAGGAAATGTAGTGATCAATAAAAGTCAGCATTCATTTATCAAAAATAAATCCTGTCAGACTAATTCAATCTCATTTTTTGACAGGCTTATTTCCCAAACAGAAGAAGGAAAGGCTGTGAACATAATCTACCTTGACTTTAGCAATGTTTTTGCCTTAGTGCCCCATGACATTTTGATAAGCAAAAAGTGGACTAGATAGAAATGTATTCAGTGAATCCAGAATTGGCTGCTAAATGGGACAAAGAATGTTCATCAACAGCACCTTCTCACACGGGAGGGAGGTAACTAGTGGAGTACTTAAAGGGTTCAGTCCTAGGCTCAGTGCTATTCAACATCTTTACTAATAATGTGGAAGAAAAAGGAAAGATAATCAGATTTGCAGACAATACAAAACTGGATGGAATAGTGAACACCCTAGAAGACAGAGTTAAGATCCAGGGAGACCTTGATAAACTTGAACACTGGGCTGAAAGCAATAGAATGAGAATCAGAAGGGACAAGTGCCAAGTCCTCCATCTAGGGAAAAAGAAATCAAATGGATTGATAAAAGATGGGGGATGCTTAGCTCAACAGAACTGAAAAAGAAAAAGACCTTGGAGTTATTTTGGGCAATAGGCTAAATTTGAGCCAACAATGGAAAGCAGCTGCAAAAACGGCAAATGCTATTTTGGAATGCACTCATAGAAGTATGACTTCCAATTCATGAAAAGTAGCAGTTCCCCTATACTCTTCATTAGCCATCCCTTGTCTGGAATACTGTAGGCAGGTCTGGGCACCAAGATTTAAGAAAGATGCAGAAAAATGAGAAAGGATCCAGAGCAGGGCAACATAAATGACACAGGGTTTGTATGAGGAGAGACTGAGAGAACTGCCCTATGAGGAGAGACTGAGAGAACATGGCATGTTCAGTCTTGAGAAGAGAAGACTAAGGGAGGACATGATAGGATATAGTGAGTATCTCAATGGCTGTCACAAGGAGGAAGGTCAAGATCTCTTCTCATTGATACCAGATGTAGGACACAGAATACTCAATTCAAGTTGGAGTAACCCTAGATCCAGGCTAGGTATCAGAAAAAGATTCTTCGGTGTCAGAGGAATACGACAGTGGAACCTGTTGCCTGGAGAGGTTGTGGGCTCTCCCACATTAGAAACAATTCTCGCAACAGCCAGGAGATGGGGCCCAATGGCACCATGCCACTTCCAACTCTACCATTTTATGGTTCTATGAAAAGAAGATGCTCTTTTTGGTACTTGGCCTCAAGCCATGTGGGTTTTGAATGTTAATGTTAGAATTAGAATGTTAATTCTAATTCTGATGGCATGTTGGTCCACACCTCCAGATAACCTTCCCCAGTGATTTCATGTAGACATTGAACAGGGGTGGGGATAAGATAGAGCCCCATGGACCTCCATTGCAGGACTGCCAAGGCATAGTGCAACAATCAGGGATTTGTCATCCCAGCAGCAGTTGAACCACTGCTGTTTCATGTCCATTTTGCAATGCAACAGCTGATCCAGAAGGATACCATGGTTCATAGTATCGAGAACCAATGGAAGGTACAAGGGAATCAATTAGTTTCCTCTTCCCCAATTCCTTCGCTTACAAAACCTGATCTGATTTAAACCACTGAAGAACAATCACCCCAATCTACAAACAGCCACTTTAAATATCTATCCAATTAATGCATATCTCCTACCCTCCTGACTTGAGATCTTCCCACCTGGACATGTGATGCAATCGTAGCAGCAGTATGGCTCCCCTTCCTTCACTTTCTTGCTGGAGCCTGGACGGCAACTCTTCGTGCATACAGAAAGTGGTCGTGTCTAATATATGGATTAAAAAGGAGGATAAATACTTGGCTAGAAACCTTTCAAATCAAAATTGCTTCCAGTCAATGGATGACTTAAAAATTGACCCAGCATTTCAGGAATGTACACATCTTAATTTACTACCACGTACTGCTTGTTTTCCTTACTTGGAGGTAGGGTAGCCAAAGAGACCCCCATTGTGAAGGAAGAAATACAGCAATTGATTGAATACTGACTGGATGAGATGCCACTTCTTGAAGTTGCACTGCTTGACTATGTGTAAGATATCTTAAAAACATGCCCCACGCTGCTTACAAACCTATTACATTCAAGAGGCAAAGAATCACTTTTCACTGAAAACCAGTAACATCATATTGCAGATGCACTTCAGGAGCACCCTTTGAACCCTGAGCTCATATACTAGAGATGGTGGAGATCTGGAATTAGGTGAAATACTGTGGGAACAACAAGATCATGAGAGTGACTATCCATATATTTGATCTTATTTGTGATTCAGGGCTGAAAGTACACCAGAACATGGGCCATGAGCAGATAAACAAGGGAAATGGGCAGAGGGGTTTATTGCAAAAGCAGAGGGGAACTTTCTCCAACAGCCTTCATTTCAGACTGGCTTTTTGCATATTTCTTTTAAAAGGGGGTTTAAAAAGTGCTAGCTCGCTTTGTTTTTCGCTGGCTTTCCAGCAAAGACGTATGTGGTTTAAACAGTTTATTACCATGTCATTCAGAAAGTTGTTTGTTAGAACCCCCTGAGTCCTGGTGTGAGAAAGTTTGGTTGGTGGAGATCTGAAGTCTAGGGCCGGTGTCATAAACAGGCTTTGGCTATTCAGTGTCTTTCTAAATATTCCCAACAAACCTAGGAAGAGGTGCAAGATCAATAGATAGACATTTAAAGTAACATCTGGCTATATTTGCATGACTGCCATTTAGGGTAGTATTAAAAATGCTGGCTGTGACATTCCATACATTAAAACAAAAATAAATTAACTCTTAAATTAAATTAAATTAAATATTAAATTAACTCAGATGTTCTGAGTTAACAATATAGGTGGCCAAGAAAGCCCAACACATTGGAGTCTTTTCTCTGCTATCTCTCCACTTAATCCAATATTCCTTCAATCAAAAATCAGTTATGGGTGAAACTTTGCTGGATTTCAGGAAATTGAACCCAGCAGGTCAGAGCTTGTTCCAAGGAGCTGGCCAGTGGCTCCTACCTGATTAAACTGGTGGTGCCATGTGATGGCCTCCTCATCAATGGTGAGTGTTTGGCCTGGAGAAGCCTGAAGATCAAACATTCCGACTTTCACACGGAGAAAAGTTTCATTGGAAAAGAACTTCCAGTTGATAACATCAAATCGAGACATCACCTCCCCTTTCTCATTGAAGGAAACCTTGGTCTGAGCACTGTTATTAAATGAGACACCTCTGAGAAACTGATGGAGCTAGATTGAAAATGAAATGGAGGATGGTATTTAAAGCTGTTTTGATTTTTCACAGAGGGCAAAAAAAAAAACCATAAATATAACTCCCATTCACTATCTGAGTAGTGTTTGGAGAACATTACCTGCCATGCCTCTTCATTCCTAAACTTCTGTCCATTAGCCTCCATGATCGACCTGTGGTTGACTTCAGATGAGGACATGGCATGCATAGCGTGGGCCACAGCATAGACCGCATTGTAGATGCTGTAGCTGTGGCCAGTCACGCTCATCTCGAAGAAATCTCCGGGAAGGCTCTCCAGCCTTTCCTTCCCAGTGCAGTTCTCCTCTTCTACATCCTCTGCTATTGCACTTGGGAAAAGACAGCCAAAAGCCTGTTGCCAAAAATGCCTGAGAAAATCATCCCCTTTTGTGCTGACTGGATTTCTGCTCTCTTGAAATGATTTGAATCCCGGTAGGTCATTGGAATGAATTCTCAAGGTCAGAGCACCATGGAAGATTTCTGTTGCCCAGTGCCTTTGATAGACAAATGCATTGACCTCCATCTGGGCTGAGGCTATCCATACTTTGCCTTTTAGTTTGCTTGTCCTGTTCTCCAGTTCTGATATATATGTCAGCCATCTAAAAATTGCAATGGAATATGATTCTCCATGGGCCACGACTACATTAGCTTTGCTGTCCACTAGTTTATCATATATTTTTGCGCCCTTTTCTAACATAACATAAATTTGATTCATGTAGGTTTCTGGGGGAACTCTTTCTGTGAATGCAAAACAGACGCCTCTTTTGGAAAACATTGGAAAGACATTTTGCAAGAATCTCTGTCCATTGTCGTTATCCATAAAAACAAGTCCAATCCAGGTCCAGCTGAAATGTAGAAGCAAAGACAGAATCCCCTCATATTGCAGAGTTTCGTGAGGAACCATCTGATAGAAGGGAAGTCCTGGTGTCTTATCATTCATGACAGGAGCCACACCATAGATGAGCTAAGGAGAGGATGAAGTAATGTTAGCATGATGACCATGATCGGAACAAGTTCAGTCTGATCCACATTAATACTCTCAGCAATTTTAAGAGAAGCACAGAACAACCTGTGAAGTTTACCCTTTCCAAACTAATGCCTAACTGCCCGCATCATGTGTTTGAGGTCACTTATGATTCCCAGCAATCATGGCTTGATGAAAGTTGAAGTTGGGCACATCTTCATGGAAGCATTTTCGAAAAGCTTCTTCTTCTCAGTGACCCTCCTTTAAGAATTGTTGAAATAGTCCTGAATTTGCATTTCAAACTGGCATTCTATCTTTTTATGACATCAGACTTAAGGCTAATAAGAATAATAACGCCCTGAAATGCCATGGGAAGGGAGAAATTGTATTATAACCAAAAGTTTATAAAATGCAGCATATCAATTGAAACAACCCAAAAAATGAGATTTTGGTTTCCCAGTGCAACAAAAATACACGGGCTGGCAAACTGTTCAGTTCTACATGGGAGAATTTTGCTGGTTTGACCCATGGAGAAACTTGCATCTTAATGAGAAGGACTATACATGTTTATCTTCTGTTTGCACTAAACTGTTTCTGTTTGGATTATTTGTGGCTTGCGCATCCATGTTACGCAATTACTCAAATAGTTCATGTTTTATTATATTTCTTTATTTCTACCTGAATAGAATTTCCAGAATATTAATGCTTTCTTTGGATTTTTTTTTTTGAATTTTTGAATTGTACTAGATTACACAAAGTATAATTTTTAGTTTATCTTTTTTTCTTTAAGATGTGGGTTGATTACGAGGTGGAACATGCAATGGTAAATAAAGTTTTAAAAGTCACAAAAATGTTTCTATAGTAATCATGATAGGAATGGTAATAAAGTTAAATAATAATGATAAAAAACTCAAGTGTTCATAACATATTTTCAGCTACCTTATGTTTGAATGTCTGTCCAAAGAGTAATGTGTGTTCATTCTGGCAAAAACTAGCTATATGGGGTTTGCGAAGGAACATCAGCAGGAGGAGAGAATCATGCAATCTCCCAGTATTTAAATCGAGTGAAAGGAAGATGAATAAGAACTCATCTGCTTGATTTCACTGGAACAATCTCTCAGACAGGAGCTGGGAACAACCAAGGAAGTGTGATTGTGCATCTACATCCTCATCTCTCACACAGAGAAAGGAGCAGGATTCTTATCTGTGAAATCTTGTAGATATCCAAGAGTGACCATATGGAGAGAGATTTGGGAATCCAGTGCACAATGATTGCTATTAGATTATTGCAGATGCTGCATGCATAGATGGGGACCAATCTCTCCTCCACTGACAGAAGTCTCAGGCTGGCCTGACAGATTCTTCTTGCATTCTTGTAATTGTTGCAGTCGTGGAAGCCCAAAGAGCTATTGGGCTATATCTGAGTTGTGGGGAGTGGTTGTGGAATCAACTTGCAGTAGTGATGGAGGAGGCAGCAATGGTCCTTGGGTTTTCTTTGGTAGATTTTTATGGTGTTTTACCCCAGCATGAAATGAGGACTTGAGCTAGGTTGCAAAAAATTACAATGTTTTACTTTATTTTATCTATTTTTTTTTCTTTGGGACATGATTTGATTACATTGTGTAATGCACGGTGGAAACAGAATGTTGCAAACATCACAAAAACCTGCATGATATTAAGAATAATAGGAATATTAATAATGGTTTATAGTGATGATCATAAAGTGATTAGAATATATTTCAGTCATCTTCAATTCCAATATTGGCCAAACAGAAAAGTTTGTTCATCCTGACAGAAGTTAGCGATAAAGGAACACCAGCATGAGGAGAGAAATATGTAATCTCCGATTGGAGAAATCATGTCAAAGTAAAAAGAATCACTCCACTTGATTTCACTGGAATGATTTCTCATACCAGAGCTGAAAATAAACAATGAAATGTGAAAGTATAGTAATATTCTCATCTCTCACATACAGAGAACAGGGTTTCTACCTGTGGAATCTTGTAGATATCTAAGATATTTGCCATATTGAGAGAAACGTGGGAGTCCAATGCTCCAATAACTACTCTTAGATTATTGTGGATGCCACATGCATAGTTGGGGACCAATCTCTCCTGCACTGACAGAAGTCGCAGGGTGGCCTGACAGGTTCTCCTTGCATTGTCGTAGCTGTCATAGATGCGGAAGCCCAAAGTGCGGTTGGGCAGTATGTGAGGGCTGTCATTGATCTCTTGTACTGCAAATGCCAAGGCCAGGAGATGCTGGTAATTCTTGGGGATCATGCTGAAAGGAGAGGTGACACCTGAGGATCAGAGTTGAAGTCAGCACCTATGAAGCAAAGCTGTACATGCACGGCCAGAAAGGAAGTGCCTTGAGTTTGGGCATGAGGCTGAAAATGAACAAGTCACAAAATGAGAGCCAACACAGACAGAGCAAAGCTGTATGGATGTACGCAGTAGGAAGCAAACAGCTTTGAGCTTGACAGGGCTTTGTCCATGGGAACGGGTGGTAAGACTGTGTACAAAAATTCCTATATCAGAGAAAATAGGTTGCAAACATCATAACTACAGGAGAAATTGTGTGAAAAATATGTAGTCTGGAAGAAGCAACCTTAGGGAAAATTGCATTACAAAATTAATGCATCGTGTTTGTGTGTGTGTTTTGCTCCATTAAGAACATCCTGATTCTGTGGTAATTGGAGGGAATTAATTCATTCCTGAGCAGAGGTAAATCTGACAGGGATGGGGCATAGAGTCATTCATGGGTCTTTTTCCTTTTGGTGTCTGTGTAAGGCTGCAACTTCAGACACAGTTTTGAGGCAGAGTTCTGGAGCTAAATGTTCTTGTGTTAAATGAAAAAGAAATAAAAGCAAACAGCAATTCAATCCTTACATAAGTTCCTTGAGTGAGTCTGGTGGGGGTGCTTCAGAGAAGGATATTGCACTGGATCTGAAAGAACCATGAAAAGTGATGCTGCCAATAAGGATGTCTCCCGACACAAAGGCATGCAGTGGGAAAGGTGGCTCCCAAATGTTGCATTTCAGAATGTGTGCCAGGCAAATGCTTTGGGAAAACATTGCCAGAAGCAAGACCTCCAAGAGCACCATTCTCAGCACAAGGCCAGCTCTTTTCCAAATTTCAGGCGTCCCTCTTTTCTTGGACAGCACGTCAGTCTTTGGACCACTCTGGCATGGCATTCCCTTCTCCAGCTGTAGTTCTGTCTGCTGACAGATTTATCTACTGATAGAAACGTATCCAAAATTGCACCACAGGCACCTTGCTTGTTCCTAATCCATTCCTCATCTCTATCTTGTAGCAGACTTATTTATGACAGCCTTCATGTTTGTCTGTTTCATGCGACCTGTGGCCATTTGGAACTCCAGATGGGTTTCATTGTGTGGCAGCATTAATTGCTGCCTTTTGGATAATTACAATGCTAGTTAAGCACCAAAGTTGTAATTCCTCTGTTGAATTGCTGGGAGAAAATATACTTATTGCATCTGTTCGAGATGCCCTAATAACAGTTAGAATAAGAGTTATGAGTAGTTGTAATTGCTCAGTCCCTTGGACCAAGGATCTGGCTTCCTTATTGGGTTTTAGCATGGAGAAAATATAAGAGAGCCAATACCCATCACCATTATTCCTGTTCTTCCCAAAAGTTCCAGCTGTTGCACCTGACATTAGAACTGGTAATGGGAAGCTCAGCAGAATGGAGCCCTGTGCAACCACTAGCTGTGTCCCCCTTCTTTGCCACGTGCAGCAGCTGCTTGTGTTGCCAGTAGATCAACCTTCAGTCCTTCAAGCATTTGTTGACTTCCTCTTGTCCTGGCTTGTTTTGCAGGACTGAGCTGAGCATGAGAGAAAGTCTGCAGATGCCAGATGGGCAGCTGGGGTTCATCTGCACACTATTCCTGCCTTAGCTTTCCAACCTCTTCATCTTAATTGAGTATTTTGGATCCCTCTATAGTCTCCATCCACTCTTGAGTAGAGGTGCAAAGAATCCATTCAGTGGGGAAAACCCACTGAATTCTCTGGCCACCAGGAATGACGGTTGGAGAAGTTTGCTAGTTGTGGATTCTGGAGGGACCAGATTCAGAAAGAGTTTGTCCCAAGCCCTTCCATGGGAAATTGCAAGCGATAAGATAAAGCATTCAGTTTCTGAACAAAAATGATCCAAAATCTTTTGGACCAGAAATATGTCTGCAAACAAAAAAAATCCACGCTGCCAGTTTTTTCCCAGCCTCTTGTTACCAGACCTACAAACTCATAAACTGGATCAGATCCATTCCTCCAAAGTCAGTTATTTGTGTTTTTCTGAATTGCAGCAAGTGCATTCCTTGTCCTCCTCATGGGAAAACTGGCCATGGGATGCACACATAGCAGTGAAACATTTTCCTGTCCTTCACTTCCTTGTTGAAGCTAGAATGGCCTCTCTCCTGTTGCTCCCTGTTCTTTCCTCTGACTTCCTTGCATGGCCTGTCATCTCTTTTGCCCACTTGACCCTGCCTGCCCTTTCTCCTTTTGCATTTCATCCTCCCACTGTCTGCCCTTTTGCTCCAACAGATTTCTTCACTCCATTTCCATTGTTCCACCCCTAGGTTGCTGTCCCTATTTTGCCATGCCCTGAGAAGTCTTCCTCATAGGGCTTTTTGCTGGACTTCTCATAGGCCAGCCCCAATCACCTGCACTGACTGTCAAGGCAATAATTGGGAGTCTTGTGGGCTGTCTGTATTATGCTGCAGTGGCTCAGAGGAAAGGAATGAATACAGTGGGCATCACTCTGGGAAGTCTTTCCCTGGAACAAATCTGTGATGCACATCACCTTGTCCAGTACAGCCTTCTCTCTTTGTGCAGCACTCCACCACTTTCTAGGAAAAGCAAATAAAAGACACTGAATGTGTCTTTTCACCTTGAAATCTCATACATCCCTTTCATGTTAAATTATCTGTTTTCTGACATGGCCCATGATCATCATGAATGAATAGGATGATAGCAGAACATTGGAACAGCGTCTGTGAAAAACCACTCAATAGCAATGTGGCAGCAATAACACACAGGGATGGATGCATATGCCCAGTGCATTTCTGCAGCATGCCTCCTTTCCCCACATCCAAGTGCACTCTGGGTGGTTCTGTATGGACATATAAGGTCTGATAAATATTACATTTAGTGTTTTTAGAAGACCAGATTGATTCATAGAATATATGCATGCATGCCTCATTTAACCTGAAATTCTAAGAAAATACACTTTGCTACTCAGAATTAGGAAATGATTCACATGGTGTCTATGTCTGTGTCCAAAGAAATTGCTTTGAAAATTCATTGTCCTAGCTGAAAGGGAAGGCAATGATACAGCAGAGCTTTATGTACAAATGTGGTGTTTTTGTGTTCAAACATGGGGAAGTTTCAAAATGAAAATTAAAACTAGCAAGAAGTTGGCAAGGAGAGTAGGTGCAGGTGAGAATTTTCACAAATATTACACACAAATGTCAGTCCCCAGATTCAACTTAGTCCCATGGAGCAAACACTTATCTCTCTTCAGCCTTTCCTTCTAATAAGCTGTTCCTTGCTGTTGAGCTGAGGCCTCAATAAAATAACGTAACATTTAGGGGAAAAGATGCAACCAAGGAATCCAGCACTGGAGGCCAAGATAGAGAAAATCTCCACAGCTACCATGTATTTTCCCTTGGTGCTCAAGTAGGTTGGAACAAAGGATAACCAAACACTGCAAAAGACCAGCATGCTGAAAGTGATGAACTTGGCTTCACTGAAGCTGTCCAGGAGCTTCCAGGCAAAGAAAGCCATCATGAAGCTGGCAGTTGCCAGGAAGCCCAGGTAGCCCAGCACACAGTAGAACATAGTCACAGAACCCTTGTTACATTCCTGGACTATTTCCTCAGGTACTGAATGAACATCGGCATCTGGGTAGGGAGGATGTGTTCCCAGCCACACAGTACAGATGCCTGTTTGAAGAAGAGAGCAAGTAAAAACAATGGAGCTGGCCAGTCCTTTCCCCATCCACTTCCGCATCCTGGACCCTGGCTTGGTGGCCATGAAAGCCAGAACCACTGTCATGGTTTTTGCCAGTACACAAGAGACCGCCGCTGAGAAGATGATGCCAAAAGTGGTCTGCCGGAGGAGACACGTCACCTTCTGTGGCTGGCCAATGAATAGGAACACCCAAAGGAAGCAGAGCAGGAGGGAGATGAGGAGAGCATAGGTGAGGTTCCGGTTGTTAGCAATGACTATGGGAGTGTCATAGTGCTTCACAAATATCCCTAAGACCAGAGCTGTGGTCAATGAAGAGAAAAGACCAAGGAAGCCTAAACTGAGTCTCAAAGATTCTTTGTAAGACAAGAAGGTTATCATCTTGGGAATGCAGTAATCCTGGTTCTTCTTTGGATACCTTCTCTCTTCGCATTTCTGACAGTCATCTGTGTCTGAAATAGAAAAGATGTGGTCCTGATCATATAAAGGCACCACACATCTTTTATTATATGCTGTACTTGTCCCAGAAAATCACATCACATCACATCACATCACATGGCAGTCATGGTTGGTTGCATAGCATTTTAACTCTAAACATGGGTTGGGTTTTTAAAAACAAGCCAATGATAATGCCTCAGAGAATATGACTGGATTTCTACAATTATTAAGTAGTGACCACTTTCTTCTGAATTGGCTGCAGAATTCAAACAGTGTTGAAAATTAGACCTGGATAACTTATATGGAAATACATTTGAGCTGGACCAAAGGATATGCTGGCTCACTGAAAAGGTCTCCAAACCAGTCATTCCTAACTTTGAGGATTTTTCAGATTACAAAAGTAGCTTTGTCTTGAATGTTGCACTCAAAGCAATTCAAATGATCACATGCATGTTCTACACATTTCTATTAATAACTGCATTCTTTATGCAACTGTGATTCATATATGCATTTATTTCTGCAAGCTCCTTTATCGTGTCACACATTTTGGACATTATTTTCCATATAACTTCTGCACACATTCCTCCCTGATACATGCATGCTTGTAGGCATTTTATTGAAGAACTCCACTGCAACATTGTGAGAAGAGAGAATTTTGGCAGTTGGCTGAGTTTCAGTGTGCAAGTTTGAAATTAGGCAAGTTCAGTTTCACATGTGAAGTTAACACATTTCTGCCCCACACCTTGTGCTAAGAACATGAAGGATGTCTCAGATGGTTACAACATCATCAGGGTGATGTTATATGTGCTTCTTCCATTGATTAAATAAAAGTGAATTGTTTCAGTGGAACTTAGAATGAGGCAAAATATCAGCCAGGTGGTCTGGTCACTGGCCAGGCAAGTTCCACCACTATATGCCTCCACCCGATCCTGCTTACGCAAATGGCATAAGCTAAAATTTTAGAACCTGCTATAAAGAAGACATTTCTGTTGCTACCTCAGCATTTGTCCAGAGCATCCAACATCACACCTCTGCTAAACTAGAAAGTTTCAGAAAAGTTGATCTCACTGCTTTTCAGTAGAGTCGATCTTTTTCTTTGTTCTTGTTCTTGTTTTCTTGTTCTTAGGGCAGAAGGTGAATCAGCCCACTCACCTTCAAGCTCTGCAATCTTCCCTTCTGGGCACGGAATGCAATTGTAACAACAGAATGGCTCTCCTTCCTTCACTTGCTTGCTTGTACCAGGATGGCAACTCACTGTACACACAGAAAGAGGCTGGACCTAATTTGAGAATGAATGGGGAGAACAACCACAAATATTTATTTATTTATTGATTTGTTTATATTGCGATTTATATTCTGCCTTTTTCCTACAAAGGGCTCAAGGCAGCTTACATCATGTCTTCTCCTCCATGTTATCCCCACCACAACAACTCTGCGAGATAGGTTGGGCTGAGAGTCTGTGACAGGCCCAACGTCACCCAGTTGGCTCCATGGCTGAGCAGGGACTAGAACTCAGATCATCTGAGTCCCAGTACCATGCTCTTAACCACTACACCACACTGGCTCTCAATGAGCTTGAAATCCTTACATTTCTGTGATCTTCTTGCATTTGACTAAAACAACTGGCACATTTTCTGTCCTGTATCAATTGTCTGGATTTGCCACAGGCTATTACCTCTTCTTAAAATTCAAACAATGAATATGGTACAGCATTATTTCTCTTTTAAAAGTACAACACTGCACGAAGATGGCAAGTTATTTATAAATGCACTCCCAAGACAGTTTTACTTCCTACATGGACTTCTAAATAATACTTTTAATTTCATAGATACTTCCCTTCCTGAAACATTTCAGAAAAGTCCTGAACAGAAGTTGAATTTAGACTATACATTCTTATAGCATGTTTGGAGCAATCCAGGGTTGGAATTGGCATTTATGGGTTCCTGTTGGCAGGGCAGAAGGGATGGAAGAAAGGAATTCCTCATTCCTTCCTTCCTGCCCATTCCCATACCCCCTGCTTTTATTTTCCATTGTGAACTGTTTAGATTATGTTTCAGGGTGGTATAAATTTCACCCCAGGTTGTGGGCATGGCAAAGGGCTTCCCTCTGAGGCTGACCTATGAGGCAGAATTCTGTGGGAGTTCTAGGGGGCATGGGGAGAGTCACGCTCTACCAACATACATTGTCTTCTGACCGTGCCTCAGCTGACCCACATTGTGCTTTGGGACAAAAGACTTAGTGGCTGAAATCTCATCTGAACTTTCTGCAGGTTGGAAGGAGTGCAGAGGTGACCTTAGCCCCTGTGCTGCTTCCACCCTCCATTGGATGCTAGCAATCTTCCAAATTCAGAGGCTTCTGGGTATCCACATATATGATATATAATATATTATTAATGTATTAATTCTAATATTGTTTTTCTCAAGCTTCTAATTCCTTTGGTGATTGCAAGCCAGCTTGAAGGTCATTTTCTTGGTAGAAAGATAGGGTAGGAAGAACATGAGTGAATGAACTTTACCTGGTTAAACAAGTGGTGCCATGTAATATCCTCATTTTGGATCATTAATGCCTGCTCTGGATCCTGTGGGTGCACCCTTCCAACTTTCACATGGTAGAAAGTTTGATTGGAGGAAAGAATCCAATTGAGCACATCAAATCCAGCTATTAGACACTCATTGTGGTCAAAGAAGACCTCATCTCCAGCACTGTTATGAAAAGAGATGTTTCTCAGAAAGTGATGGAGCTTGAATAAAAGGAACAAGCAAGAATTTGGGAAAAGCGACATCTGGGTATTCCAAGCTGAGGTATAAAGCCTTTTGAAGAATGATGTCATGGGTAATTGTTGAGTTGGGAGAAGGGAAATTACCAACACATTAAACAACTTTGATATCCTGTGTGATTTGCCCAACTGTTGAACGGGTACGGCTTCCATACGGTAAACTCAATGGTGGGAGGAAGTTTTTATAGAGTCCAATGTTTGGAAGGACAACAAAAGAGACAAAAGGGGAAGAGGGCGATTGCTGTAGGTTTCTGACAATTTCCTTCTGTAAAATAACAAAGGAAAAACAAAAATCCAAAGGAATTGTGCTCTGATAGCACTCAGGTTTCACATTTCAGTGCAGAAAGGAAAGGTAGGAAAAGGAGGTTTAGTTTTGTGAACTACTAGGAGAACTACATTTAATGTGTCTGATAGAAGGTTGGTTTTGTGAATTTTGTTATGATCACCTTTGTAATGGAAAGGTTCAAGCATACATCTCCCAGAAATTAGACTCAAACAGTACTCTCTGTCTTTCATGAAGGAACAGAATGCCAGCACAAAGCTCCTGACCCCACCCAGGCAAGATGAAGCCCAGTGCCATCTAGTGCATCAAATCTATATGAATGTTATCAACATACATGCATACTCTAACTCCCCTCATCCAAAGCCACAGTATTTCAGCACTACATAACAAGAGAATGCTAAATGCTAAGACTTGGCAAACTTGAGGAAAATATGTGCATGTGGAGTGTTTGGGATGCAATTTACTACATGGCTTGTGGCTTGCTGTATCTCTCAAACATTATTGCTGTCTCACACAGTGACATTGAGCATATTACCTGCCATGAATCTGGATTCTGAAGCTCTCTTCTACCTCTTCTTGCTCCCTGTTTGAGATGAGATGAAATGAGGACATGGCATGCAGAGCATGGGCCACAGCATAGACAGCATTGGAAACACTGTAGCTGTGCCCAGTCATGCTCATTTCAAAGAAAGATCCTGGAAGGCTCTCCAGCTTCTCATCTCCTGTACAAGGAGTCTCCTCCACTGTTCCTGTAACCTGATCTGTGAATGTACAACCAAAGGCTTGTTGCCAAAAATCCCTGATATATCTATCTGCTTCCGTACCAGAAGGGCTTCTGCCCTGAAGAAATGCCTTGTATCTGAGTGGATCACTAGAGTGAATGGTTAAGGACAGAGCACCATCAAATATGCTTGCATCCCAATTCCGTTGATAGACCAATGATGTGAACTCCATCTGGGCTGCCATTATCCATACTATACCTCTTGGTTTAGCTGTCACATTTTCATGCTTGAAAGATACGGCAGCCATCTCAAAAGGACCAGGGAGTAAGAATCTCCATAAACCAACAATGCATCGGCCTTGCTGCCCCTGATTTCAGTATATTTGCTTTTTCCATGTTGAAACATAGCAGAGAAATCAGTGATAAATTTGAATGTGGGAAGTTTTTCTATGAAGGCAAAGCAGACATGATTCTGGGAAAACTGTGGAACCAGAGTTTGTACAATTTTTTCTCCATTCTCATCATCCATAATGAGCATCCCAATCCACATCCACCAAAAGTGCAGGAGTAGTGAGAGAATCCCCCTATATTGAAGGGCTTCCTGGAGGACCATCTGGTAGAAAGGAAGACCTGGGGTTTTATCATTCATTATAGGCGCAGCACCATATATGAGCTTGAGAGAGTGAGAAAGAGAGAGAAAGACAGAACATGAAGAACAGCAAAATATTGCAGCTATTTATAAAATGTGTGTTAGCAATAATTGAAAGTCATCTTCAAATTAGGATGGTAGGATGATTCTGATAAGAGAATGGCTGTTGTCCATCCTCAGCCTACATTGCTTGGCAGGTTCAACAGAAGTTCATTAACATGAGTTAACATTCATGTATGTTCTTAGGGTTCAGGAGACTGAATCCAAATGGGTTATTCCCAGATAGTGTCCTTTTTGCATGTCAGGATGTGGTAATCTTTTACATTCTGCTTAGTGTAAGTTGTAATAATTCTTGATGACCTAAGGTCAAACTCTTCCTGTATGTTGTAGCTTTACATATAGTACCGGTGGATAGCCTTCGGTCTCAAAAGAGGCCAAGTTGACCTGTCCACCTGATATTGATATTTGGGTGTCCATGCAAAGGGAGTGTTTATAAACAGATGAACAAATAAATAGATAAGTGTTATCTCAGGAAGCCATCCTTCTCACCCGGAGATGTTTTATTACTGTGGTGAGCTTGTGGCTGTTCCCACTTTGAAAATTAGGGCCCCTATCTTGCTGCAAAAATGTTGACATGGACCTATGTCTTTGAGGTAGCTTTCTTGACCCCCTGTAACAATCATTTTCACTGTCTCTTGTGTTCAGGATGCGAGAGCAGTTTTCTTATGTACCCAAAAGAGCAATGCATGCATACAGGAGGGATTGTGCTGCAAGTGCAGCATGTACTACCACTAATTGTAGCAAGAGGAAAATTAAGAACGCAGATGTTCTACCCTATTCTGGACTTGTTTGTGTGTGTATCTGTGGAGAAACACACACATGCATGTATGTAGAGGAAGGGAAGAAGAGGTAAGTGCAAAATGCACAATGGCACAACAGCGAAGCATCAAAGATGATCTAGATCAGAAACTGTTCATATATTCATTAATGAATGAAGCATAAAGATTATTCCTCTCAGCTTGACAATGACATCCAAAATATACACACAGTAAGGCCCCTCTCACTATTTTCATGAGAACGATTTCTTGTTTTGAATCGCTTAGTAAGAAATTGGAAAGGATGAAGGAAGCCTCAGTCATGTCACCATATTCCGTTCTGCTTTAGACTAACTCGTCTCCTACCTGTGGAGTCTTATAAATATCCAAGAGTGCTGCCACATGGAGGGAGATTTGGGAGTCGAGTCCCCCGATGATTGCTACAGTGTTGCTCTGCATGTCACACACATAGTTTGGGACCAATCTCTCCTGTGCAGAGAAAAGTAGCATTGAGGCATGATAGGTCCTATCTGCATTGTTATGGCTGTCATAAATGTTGAAATCCATTGTGAGATCATGTAGCATCTGCGGGTTCTCATTTATCTCCTTCATGCCAAACACCAATGCCAGGATAAGCTGATAGTTTTTAGGCACTACTCTGAAAAGAAAGATACATTCTGCATCAAAAGAATATCTTCAAAAATGATGCTATTGTCACCCTGTCCTGTGTCTTCTTCACCTTCTCACTATCTTCGCAATGGACTCTTTTTTCTAAAGTGATCTTAACAAAAACATCAATGACAAGCAATAGGTCTGGTTCTGTCCAGAACACCACTCTCTGTATACACAGAACTGTTAGCAGAAACGATGTCTAAGTGTTCTGAAGAAGAGAAGGCCTGGTCACAAAATAAATCTTACAAAGCATCAAAAGTCTTTTTCCAAGAGCAAGACATTAAAAGTGCAAGTAAGACAACTGTGGACAAAATAAGGGACATAAAAGATGTCAGTGTGCAAATCAGTGTTTTTAGTTTTAGTTTTTCATATGGCACTGAGAGAGTCTTAGTTGGAGGATTAGGTAAAAACAAATACAAAAAAGGAATGAAATACTATTTAAAGTGTAAAAAATCCATGATGATTGTTTTCTTCTGCTGGGAAAAGAGCCTACAGCATTACTTTCTTTTCATGCAGACTAAGCCAATAATTCTAAAGGTAGAGCTGTATGGCTGACTATTGCAGTGATGAAATAAATTATTAATATTGTTCAATAATACCAGCTAGCTTTATTAATTGATATTTTCAGTATAAGATTCAATAACATTGCATTATTCCATTACTTAATATTAATGTTAATGCCATTAAGCCCTTACACAAGATCCTCCAACAGTGCTGATGCAGGCTGTTCAGTGAAGCGCAGTTCAGAATAGTGGACGATGCTGCCATGAGTCACAATGCTATCAATCATGAGATCTCCTGGCTGATGATATGAGTGAAGTGGGGAATGTGGGTGCCAGACCCTGCATTTCACAGTGCCAGCCTTGCAAACCAGGTGAGGAAACATCACCAGCAAGACCAGCAAAATCGTCATTCTCAGTGCAACCACAGATGGTTCTTATGAACATTGATATCTCTCTTTCTATCCCCTACAGCACTATGATTAGTCTTTACATGCTTTACACTGCCTTATTTGAACAGCACTATCTCTTGTGTGACCTGAACCCTGGAGTATCCAAGACCAGAATGGCGAATCCTCACCAGTTGCTTGTCCTTCACCCAGAAAGAATACTGGGTTGGTATTTCACCATCTCTCACTGTATTCCAAATTAGATTTCCCAGTGATGAGTGAAATCCTACAGGGGTTTTAAAGAACAGCAGCCTTTGATACAAACACAAAACAGTCACAGAAATGTAATTATTAAGGTGGAGATTCTTTGGTGTTAGTGTTTTCTTGGTGGTTACTGAAATGCCACTGAGGCTTGGATGAGCAGGAGTTGTTACAGGAGGAGTTACAAAATTCCTGTCCTTTTGATAATTAAACTGGAAGTTAAGTATTAAGTCAAAGATGTGATTCCCTGTGGAATTATTGAAGAAAACAGCTTTGTCACATGTCCTGAAGTTTACTTTTCTGCACTGGTTGCCTTCAGACTGAGAGTTCTAGGCAGCATCGATTATTGTAATTCTGCAGTAAAGTACAGTGGAATTTTCTGCCCAAACCATCTGGGAAAAATGCTTCCTTGTGCCCCAACATTCTGTTCTGATCAAGAAGTGTAGCCAGAAAGCTTCCCTCTCTTGGCTACTTCCTGTGACAATTTTTTTTTTTTTTTTTTTTTGTTTGTTTTTTGGTTTTTTTTTTTTTTTTTTTTTTTTTTTTTTTTTTTTTGGTAGTGTGGTGGCTTTTGTTATTCTTTTTTCTCCTTTTCCATAATTGTGCAATTGAGCAATTCAGATTTAATTTTATCCAGTGCAAGATTATTTAATCCTGATGAATATCAGGTCAATTGTGTTTAAGGGGCGAAGGGTTAAACCATAACCTTTAGGGGTGGGATTCTGGGAATTTTCAGGTACCCACCTCAAAACCCAGCTTTTTCACAGGTTCCATCTCATGCCGATCTATTCCTGGGAACATCCAAACAGAACACTGGCAGATGCTCAAAATATAAGCTTTGCATCCAGTGCCATCACAGTGATGTCATCCTTTTGTCAGAGACCATGGAAGAGATGAAATTTCATTCGTTTGTTCATTCAATTTATGTCACCCCACTAGCCATATGTTCTCAGGGTGGATTACAATATGTTAAAATTCAACAATATAAAGCAATACAAACAATATAAGTTCACTTGTCAAAACTGGTAAACAAATAAGACTTTAGTTGGCACCTAAAAGTCAAAATAGTTGGTGCCAATGGAACCTCAAGTGGACTTGAATTCCAAAGTTGGGGGAAGGCCCTCCTTGTAAACACTCCTCTCACTATGGTAGTGAGAGGAACACAGAGAAGGGCTTCAGATGAGGACAGCAGTGAATAGGCTGGTACCCCTGGGAAAAGCCCTCCCTCATGTAACTTGGCTCCAAACTGTTTAGAATATATATCATCATGAGTACTTTGAATTGAGCCTGGAAGGCAAGCAGCAGCCAATGTAACTTGCGTAGGACCAGCGTGATATGCTCAGTGAGTGTACTGCCCTATTTTGGATGAATTGCAAGATTTGGGCTGTTTTCAAAGGCAGCCCCACATAGAAAGCATTACAGTAATATGTGTGGGAGGTTACAGGTGCATGGATAACCATGGTAAGTATCCATTCATCCAAGTAGGATGGCAGTTCATAAATCAGCCAAAGTTGATAAAAAGCATTCCTGGAAATAGAGTCCACCTCAGCAACAACTCAGAATCCAAATCCGCAAACCTCATCCTTTAGGGTGAGTACATCCCCATCCAGAACAGGTTGAAAATTCCCCAGTTGAACAGATGGACTCCCCATGTAGGAGCTCATACATTGGTTCAGAACTGTCACCAACTCACCTTCAGATGATGAAAATGAGAGGTAGACCTTTCATCAGCATACTGCAGTGAAACCTCTCCCAGCAGTTTCATGTAGATGTTAAAAAGTGTGTGGGGCAAAACAGAACCCTGTGGAACTCCATGGCACAGTGGCCATGGCACAGAGTAGTATTTCCCCAGCACCACCAACTGGAGATGATCAGCAAGGTAGGAAAGGAACCACTGCAAAGCGGTGCTCCCAACTCCCAATCTTTCCTTCCTCTTCAGAAGGATATCATGGTCAATGGTACTGAAAACCACCAAGAACTCCAGAAGAATCAATAGGGTTGCACTCCTCCTGTCTCTCTCCCAGCCTAGGTCATCCCACAGGATCTTTTATTGGGTACCAATAAATGACAGATCTTAGAGTTCAAGCAGGGGAGAGATGCAAGAGATATTTACAACACAGAGACCTTCCAGGCACAGATGGTCAAAATTCCTATACAGCACTATGAAAATATATAAAGCAAAGAAGTCTTTAGGTAATCTTGAATGCTTCTGTGACAATGCCAAGGAACATTGCTCAAAACAGAAAAGAGGTTTTCTTCACTATGGCCACTGTTTATTGTTTCCATCTTTAGGTATCTCAGACTGCTGAGGGGTGCCAATACATCGGGCTGACTGAGATGGGCTTCCCCAGCTCCATTTTGTTTGCAGTGGGGCAGCCTTGTTTCATAACCAGAACTCCATCCATGACCTCAGTGGATTTTGTGAGCTCCATGGCACTACTTTCCAACTTAGTATTGTCTTCCTTTCTGGGACAAAGCTTCATGAATATAAAAAGAAATCATGGGCACATTGTGTGGGTTCTTGCCTTCATTTATGTGGTGAATGTTCAAGGGTGCTGTGCAGAAGGAAAGGTTCAATGTGAATAGTAACAATGCATTTATTTTCCAGAGTTTTTTCAGTGATGTTCTTATCAGCATCTCTGTTCTTAAGTCTCTCCCTGTTGGTGGACACAGCGATGAGTTCACATTATACACTCACGATACACTCTCCAATATAGCATAATGGATTCAATTTTTGATGAAGACTCCAAAACATTTTCAGCCACACAGCATATGTGCTGGCAACAAGTGCCATCAGTTTTCAAGTTTTCTTCCAGGGTAGATGTCAGAAACGTTTACTCAGGAGATTTTTTTACAGCATGTCTGTATGAAACTTATTACGTAGTCATGTGTTTTTTTTCCATTCAAGATCCTCCAAAGGTGCCTTGCAACCATATTGGTTCATCATGCAGAATATAGGTAGATAATTAAGCTTTTTATCTTTAAAATACGTTACCAAAGGAATCTGTGTGAGTGCCTGTACTTTTTTCCTCTTTTCCTATCCTCTTCCACTCTTGCCCTGTTTTTACGTTATATAATAGGTTGCAATTCTATTTTAATTTTTAATTTTTTAAATTTTTTTCTTCATTATCAATAAAAGTGAAGAACAGGCATGTGTTCTTCAGTACTTCCTTCTAATGAGCAGTTCTCTGTTGTTCAGTTCAGGTCTCAGCACAATAATGTAGCATTTGGGGAAGAAGATGAAAGCCAGCAATCCTGCGGTGGAAGCCAAGATGGAAAAGATCTCCACAGCCACCATGGATTTCCCCTTGGTGCTGAGGTAAGAAGGCACAAAGGAGAGCCAAACACTGCAAAAGACCAGCATGCTGAAGGTGATGAACTTGGCTTCATTGAAACTGCCAGGCAGCTTCCTGGACAGGAAGGCCACAGTGAAACTGACGCTTGCGAGAAGGCCCATGTATCCCAATGCACAGTAAAACATTATCACTGAGCCCTCATTACATTCCAGTATGGTTTCTTCAGCCATGGAAAACATGTCGACATCTGGGAAAGGAGGTGAAGTTCCCAACCACAGACTACAGATGCCTGCTTGGATGAGGGAGCAGGAAAGAACAAGGACACCAGCCTCCTCCTTTCCCAACCATTTCCTCATCCTGGATCCTGGCTGAATAGCCATGAAAGCCAGAACAACCAAGAGGGTTTTTGCCAGTACAGAAGAAACAGCCACTGAGAAGATGATGGCAAAGGCAGTTTGACGGAGGAGGCAGGTGACCTCCTGAGGCTCACCAATGAATAGCAAAGCACAAAGGAAGCAGAGGAGGAGGGAGCTGAGCAGAGTGTAGGTGAGCTTCTGGTTGTTGACTTTGACTATTGGAGTCTGGTGGTTCTTCATGAACACAGCCAGCACCAGAGATGTGATGAAAGAAAAGGCAAGGGCAAGTATAGCCAAACTGAGTCCCAAAGTTTCTTCATAGGATAAGAAGGTTATGGTCTTTGGAAGACAGAAATCCCGATTCTTGTTTGGGTGCTCTGTATCTGAGCATGCATTGCAATCGTTCATATCTAGAAAGGAAAAGAGATGGTGTTGATCAGACAAAAAGAAGGCAGGCAAGCCAAAGGAAAGAAGACAATGTCGTAAATTCTGTCCAACCAAAATCAACAGAAATCTTGACCATCTGAATAGAGAAATGGAGCAGTGTCATCCTCAGTCTCTGGACTAAATGCTGGTTGGCCTGCCCTTGGTGTTTCAACATCACTATCTTTGGATGGTGATTATTTTCTTTGCCATGATTTCCCCCAAATCCTAGAAGTTATATGTTCCTACATTGTGGACACTGTATTTGGGATGCCACTCAGGCAAGCCAGAATGCAAGTGGAGGACCAGTGATGCCTCTTCCCTTTCCTGAGTGCCACCTGATTCTGACTGCCCCTTTTCCAAACTCAGTGCTCTTCTGTCAGAACTGATCAGCTGATCGTTAGGGTGGTGGTCTCTTGCTGGCTGCTGGGAGAGAGGGGCAATTTTCCCCTCTTGCCAAGCGGATCTAAGATTCTATTCTTGTTATCATGATGTGTTCTCTTTCCAGATTTGGACAAAACAGCAAGCTGTTCTGGTACCAAAAAAACATAGAATAAGCCACTGCTGTGATTTTTGGTTTATAATAAACCATGAAATTCATGATTAGCTTTGCATGACAAATCAGAATGACTTGTGTAAACAGGCAACCAGTGGTTGTTGTGTGCTGCAAACCCATGCAGTCAGTATTTTACTTTATTGATCTGTTACATTTCTATGCTGCCAAATGGTCATTGCTTTCTGAACTAGTTTGAAACTACAGTGTAAAACAGAAATAATCTCCAAAGCAAAACACAGGAGAAATACAAGGGTTTAACATTTAGAACAGCAGACACTGAAAAGCTATCATGTCCAGAGAAACAGTATCTGCACCAGGTGCCTGAAAGAGCAGAACTGGGTGCCAGACAAATTCTCTGGGAAGTTGATTGCACAAGTGTGGTGGCACGGACATGTTTTTTGTGCAGTAGCCACCCATCTGACTTCCTTTAGCAGGGACTTCCATAAAAAGAAACAGCTGTGGTGAGTATATACTTATATTTAATTTGATTTGCAGTATTGCTATACCATCTAGCTTTTCATAGAAAATACTGGAATGGGTTACAATAATAAAAATATAAAAACAATTTACAGTACTTAATTAACATATGATTAAATAGTATATATTAACATAGGATGCTCCTTTTGATAACCAGGCCTCAAGCAACTTTGGGCTGCAGATGTTAATTCTAGCAGATATCATTGTAGGCATATTGATGACATGATGGTCCATACCTCCAGATCACCTTCCTCAGTGATTCCATGTAGACATTGAACAGGATGGGGAATAACAAAGAGCCCTGTATAATTCCATTACATGTCTGCCAAGGTATCGTACAAGAATCGGGGATTACCCATCCCAGTGGCAGTACAACCAATTTGTGGCCAGAAAGATACCATGGTTCATAATATCGAGAATCAAAAGGAGGTGCAAGGGTTTCAACATATCCCATTCTTCTTTCTCCATCTCTTACAAAACCTTCTGATCCTGTAAGGACCACTGAAGAACAGTCATCCCAATCTACAAAGAGCCACTTTTAATATCTATCTAATGAACACATATTTCCTACCCTCCTGGCTTGAGATCTTCCCGGCTGGACATGGGATGCAATCATAGCAGCAATATGGCTCCCCCTCCTTCACTTTCTTGCTAAAGCCTGGATGGCAACTCTCAGTGCATATAGAGATTGGTTGTGTCTAATACATGAATTAAAAAGCAGGATGAATATATGGAAATAATTTTTTTTAACTGTTGGATCTCAAGACAACGGATGAGTTAAAAAACTGACCCAGCATTTCAGGAGTGTGTGAATCTTAATTTATTATCAAATATTGCTAGTGGTGAGTGCCTTCATAGACCTCTCATTTGAAGGAAGAAATAGAGCAAATGATAGAATAATTGACTGAATGAGATGCCACTTCTTGAAGTTGGATTTCTTGACTACATCTAAGATATTATCTTAGATGGTTACATTGTACTGCTTAAACATTTATTAATTTCAAAATGCACAGGATCACTCTTCATTGGGAACCAGTAACATCATCATCTCCCTTCATGGGCCACTGCCTTGCCACAGTGAAGAGGCTTGCATTGTTGTGCATGGGCACCCAAGATGGGCAGCTCATAGCAAACAGCTGTGGCAAAAGGTGATCCACTGCAGATGGAAATGGCATCCCACTCCAGTACACTTGCCATGAAAACCTCATGGACAAAATCAAAAAGACAATATATGTAACACTGGAAGATGAGCCCCTAAGGTCAGAAAGTGTCCTGTGTGCTACTGGGGAAGAGCAGATGGCTAGTACTAGCAGTGCCAGAAAGAATGAAGTTATAGGGTCAAAGCTGAAAGGACACTCAGCTGTGGATGTATCTGGGGGTGAAAGAAAAGTCAAATGCTGTAAAGATCTATACTCCATAGGAACCTGGAATGTAAGATCCATGAATCAAGGCAAGCTGGATGTGGTCAAACAAGAGATGACATGACTGAACATTAACATTGTGGAATCAGTGAACTAAATGGACAGGGATGGGTGAATTTAGTTCAGATGACCATCAGGTATACTACTGTGGACAAGAATCACTCAGAAGAACTGGAGTAGCAATCTCAGTCAATAAAAGAGTAGGGAAAGCAGTACTGGGATACAAACTCCAAAATGACAGAATGATCTTAGTTTGAATCCAAGGCATACAATTCAGCATCACAGTAGTCCAAGTCTATGCCTCAACCACTGATGCTGAAGAGGCTGAAGTTGACCAGTTCTAGGAAGACCTACAACACCTGCTAGAACTCACACCAAAAATGATGTCCTTATCATCATGGGGGATTGGAATGCTAAAATGGGAAGAAAAAAGATAACCAGAATAACAGGCAAGTTTGGCCTTGGAGAACAAAGTGGAGAACAAAGCTGGCAGAATTTTGCCAAGAGAACATGCTGGTCATAGCAAACAACTCAAGAGAGACTACTCTACACAAGAACATCAGCAGATGGTCAACACAGAAATCAGATTGACTATGTGCTCTGCAGCCAAAGATGGAGAAGCTCTATACAGTCAGTTAAAACAAGACCAGGAACTGACTGTTGCTCAGATCAGGAGCTTCTTGTTGCAAAATTTAGGCTTAAACTGAAGATAGTAGGGAAAAGCGCTAGGCCACTCTGGTATGACCTAAATCATATACCTGATGAATATAAGGTAGAGGTGACAAATAGATTTAAGGAGTTTAATCTGATAGAGTGCCTGAAGAACTATGAAAGGAGGTTTGCAACATTGTACAAGAGGAAGCAGCTAAAATCATCCCAAAGAAAAAGAAATGCAAGAAAGCAGAATGGCTGTCTGAGGAAGCTTTACAAATAGCCAAGGAAAGAAGGGAAGCAAAAGGCAAGGGAGAAAGGAAATATACACCCAATTGAATGCAGAATTCCAGAGAATAGCTAGAAGAAATAAGAGTGCCTTCTTAAGGGAATACTGAAAAGAAATAGAGGAAAACAATAGAATGGAAAGAACTAGAGATCTCTTCAAGAAAATTGGAGAGATCAAGGGAACATTTTGTGCAAAAATGGGCATGATAAAGGACAAAAATGGCAGAGACCTAACAAAGGCAGAAGAGATGGCAAGATTACCAAGATGTCCCAAAAGAGGACAGATACAAGGGCTGGATGAGAAGAGCAAACTTACTCCCAAAGTTATACTCCTTGGAATGCTGACAATATGCCAAATGGTGATGGAACTTTACATGAAGGACTGAAGCAGTTTATTTCAAATACCTTGGATTAAGATCAAGGAGCAAAGAAATCCTGACTTGATAACCATTGTATCATGTGCTCATCTCCATAGCAGATTACTGAATAGGACCTAACTCTTCAAAAAGAAATAGCATGCTTACAACATAGTAACATGCATTAAATAACAACAGCTGAAAGAGATGCCATAAGTGAAATGGAAAGGCAGCCATCAGGGATGTGTGGCTGATGCCCCCTGCTCTCTTGAATTAGAAGTGAAGAAGACAACATGTAGTGAAATTTTGGTGATGTCAGTCTTGGAATATGGGTCCACACAAGGAAAGTGGGAAGGGAAGCTTATGGGAAGAGCAGAGATGACCTTCCTCCTACTTCCTCCTGTCCTGCTTTTCCCTCCAGATGGATGTTTGCTTGTTCAGCTGGGCTGGTTTAGCCAGAGAGGGAATAACACTGGAGGTGCATCAAGATATTTTGGCCTCTCCGACATGCTTCCATTCCTTTCAAATGCCCCCCTCCCCATCCCCTGGTCTGCCTCTCTGAGGTCACAATACCATTCAAGAAGAGCACCAATGTGGCTCTCTCTGCATGATCTGTGAGGGAAGAGGGACAGACCCATTTAAGACCTCTGATCTGAGCAACCAGAAAAAATTTTGACAGTTCAGATGCTTTATTGGAACAGAGACGGCATCAGTAAGATATTTCAATGTTTTCTAAAAAGTAGCAACACTAATTTAAAATAATTTAAAAAGAAGGTATTAACTATGCAAGCAACTAAAGAAGGTGAAAGACAATTTTTAAATGGAGCACTAGATGCACCATCAAAAATGGAACAGGCAGAAATTGAATGCTATTTTTTAAAAGCCCTTGAAAAGGACCTTTTCAGGTCTGAGCAGTCTTTGCTTTTTGACTGGCTTTCAAAGCAAAGACTTATGTGTGTTAAATATTTTATAAGCATGTAACTCAGCAAGTTGTATGTTAGAACCTTCCGAGTCCTGCTCTGAGAGTTTGGCTGGTGGAGATCTGAAGTCTATGGCTGGTGTCAGAAGCAGGCCCTAGCAATACTGTGTCTTGCTAAATATTCCCTATACAACTGGCAACAGGCACAAGGGCATGAGACAGATATTTAGAATAACATCTGGCTGTATTTGCATGGTAGCCATTTAGTGAGCATTAAAAATGCTGGTTGTGATGTTCCATATATTAAAAACAGACATGTATTAACTCTGTTTAAGTTACTTCCAGTCATTTTGAAGTATGATGCTTTGTTGGACTCAACTGAAATAAAAGCCAGCAGGACTGAAGATCAGAGTTTGTTCCAAGGGGCTGACCAGTGACTCCTACCTGATTAAACCAATGGTTCCATGAAATGGCATCTTCATCAATGGCGAAGGTTGTCCCAGAAGCCTGAAGATCAATCTTTCCAACTTTCACAGGGAGAAAGGATTCATTGGAAAAAAACTTATAGTTGATAACATCAAATCCAGCCACCACCTCTCCTTTCTCATTGAAGGAAACCTTGTTATGAGCACTGTTATTAAAGGAGACACCTCTGAGAAACTGATAGAGCTAGAGTGATAATGGAAACAAGAAGTTTTAAAGGATTGCAGTTTAGTGTACAAAGTTAAGTTCTAACATCAGGTGGAGAATAATTAATAGTTAATCATTACAGATTCTCAGTGGTGAGAAGTTTGACTGAAAAAAATCTACTCATGAATTGGAGTTATATTTCTTCTTTCTTTATGGCCATTGTGAAGAACTCAAGACAGCTTAAAAGATCTCTCTCCAAATCTGTAATGCTAAAAGTAGGTGATTGACCCCAAATCTCATAGTGCACTTAGGAGCAAAGTGGGGGCTACATGGATCTCCCCCTTCTAACATTCAGAAGAGGAAAGCACTGGAAGGTGACCAAAACTGGAATAAAGTTTGAGGGAGAGAAATTTGGAGTGTAATTAGAGAAAGAATATAAAGACTCTTGTCACAGTAAAAGACATGGGAGTGTAACACCTGAGTACTTGGAGAACATTACCCGCCATGGCTCTTCATTCCTAAACTTCTGTCCTTTAATCTCCATGATTGCCCTGTGTTTGACTTCAGATGCGGACCTGGCATGCAAAGCGTGGGCCACAGCATAGACTGCATTGTAGATACTGTAGCTGTGGCCAGTCATACTCATCTCAAAGAAAGATCCAGGAAGGCTCTCCAGTCTTTCCCTCCCAGTGCAGATCTCTTCTTCCACATCCCCTGCTACTGTACTTGGGAAAAGACAGCCAAAAGCTTGTTGCCAAAAGATCATGAGAAAATCATCTCCTTTTGTACTGAGTGGAATTCTGCTCTCCTCAAACAATTTGAATCCTGGTAGGTCATTGGAGCGAATCCTCAAGGACAGGGTGCCATGGAATATTTTTGTCTCCCAATTCCTTTGATAGACAAATGCATTGATCTCCATGTGGGCTGAGATTATCCATACTTTGCCTTTTAGTTTTCTTGCCCTGTTCTCTACTTCAGCTAGATATGGCAGCCATCTAAATATTGCAAAGGAATATGACTCTCCATGGGCCACCACTACATTGGTTTTGCTGTCCACCAGTTTATCATATATTTTTGCCCCCTTTTCTAAAATGGCATTAAGTTTAATAATGTATGTGTATGGAGGCAGTCTTTCCATGAAGGCAAAACAGACACCTCCTTTGGAAAACATTGGGAACACAGTTTGCAAGAATCTTTCTCCGTCATCATTGTCAGTAAAAACTAGCCCAATCCATGTCCAGCTGAAATGTTGGAGCAAAGACAGAATTCCCTTATATTGCAGAGTTTCATGAGGAACCATTTGATAGAAGGGAAGTCCTGGTGTCTTATCATTCATAACTGGAGCCACACCATAAATGAGCTAAGGAGAGGTTGAAGAAATGTAAGCATGATGGCATTAATAATTGGATCAAGTTCATTCTGACCCTCATGCATGCTGTCAGCAATTCTTAGAGAAGCACTACCTGGCTTGGGAATCTTCTGCTTTCTGAACTAATGCCCAGCTTCCCACATTCAGGAGTCCTCAATATGTGTTTGAGGATACTTCTCATTATTCCCAGCAATCATGGTGTAATGAGAGTTGGAATGCAACACACCTTCCTGGATGCATGTTCGGAAACCTTGTTCTTCCCAGTGTCCCTTCTTTAAGAAGTATTGAAATAGTCCTGAATTTGCATATGAAACTGGCATCCCATTTTCCCATGACATCAGACTTAAGGCTAATAGGTATTATAATATACTGAAGTACAATGAAAAGGGAGAAAAAGCTTTACAATGAAACCAAAAAAATTAGGTTCCATTTTCCCAGCATGAAAGGAATTGCGTTTCTTTATTCAGGCCCAAAGAGCACAATTTGGCTGGTTTGACTTGTGTAGAAACTTGCATCTGAATGAGGCAGACCATGCATTCTCATCTTCTCATCATAACTTTGTCATGTTGAACTACTTTTTGATTTCCACATCCATGTTATGCCAATCAGTTTGTCGAATAATCATTTTTCTGGTTATACTGATAACTTCTAAAAGTCAGACTAAACTTCCTGTACCTCTATATACCTCATGGAGTGCTGCAATTTAGACGTTGCAATTTCAAAGCACTTTGGGTGTCTTTTACTGTTTCTCTATGAGGAAAGGTGAAAATATTTAAAATAAATGTAAGGGTTCAAATTGTGCATGTTTTGTTACATTTATATATTTCTGAAAGCAATTCTATATAATCGCTTCTCATGTATAACGCCAGTATGAATTGTTGACTAGCATTAGATTGCAAAAAAACCCCGTATATTTTAAATTATTTTATATTTTTTCTTTGAAATGTTTAATTAGAAGATGTAACCCACAATGAAAAAGGAATTTTGAAAAGACACAAAAACTTTTACCACAATAATCACATGAGCAAAATAAAGGATGGCTACTAATCATGATCCAAAAAACCACTGGTGGTTAGAACATATATCCAGTCTTATATTTGAATGTCAGTCCAAATCAAAATATGTGTTCATTCTGGCAGAAGGTAGCACTATATGCTTTGATAAGAAATTCCAGAATGTATGGCTGTGAAAGCTGGAGCATAAGAAAGGCTGAGCACCGAAGGATTGAGGCTTTTGAATTGTGGTGCTGGAGGAGACTCCTGAGAGTCCCTTGGATCGCAAGGTGATCAAACCGGTCAGTCCTAGAGGAGATCAACCCTGACTGCTCTTTAGAAGGCCAGATACTGAAGATGAAACTCAAATACTTTGGCCACCTGAGAAGGAAGGACTCACTGGAGAAGAGCCTAATGCTGGGAACAATTGAAGGCAAAAGAAGAAGGAGACGGCAGAGAATGTGGTGGCTAGATGGAATCACTGAAGCAGTCGGCATGAGCTTAAGTGGACTCCGGGGATGGTGGAGGACAGGAAGTCCTGAAGGAATGTTGTCCATGGGGTCACAATGGGTCAGACACGACTTCACAACTAACAACAACAACCAAATCAAAACATGTGTTCATTCTGGCAGAAGGTAGCACTATATGCTTTGATAAGGAATTCCAGAATGAGGAGAGAATCTTGTAATCTCACATTATGTAAATTAGGTAAAAAGAAGAAGAACTCATAGGCTTGATTTCACTAGAAACATTTCTCAGCTGGGAACAACCAAGGGTGATTGTATATTTATATCCCCATGCCTCTCATAGAGAAAGGTAGAGGATTCCTACCTGTGGAATCTTGTAGATATCTAAGATATTTGCCATATTGAGAGAAACGTGTGAGTCCAATGCCCCAATGACTGCTATTAGATTATTGTGGATTCCACATGCATAGTTGGGAACCAATCTCTCCTTTATTGACAGAAGTCGCAGGGTGGCCTGGCAGGTTCTCTTTGCATTGTTGTAGCTGTCATAGACACGGAAGCCCAAAGTTTGGTTGGGCAGTATGTGAGGGCTCTCATTGATCTCTTGTACTGCAAATGCCAAGGCCAGGAGATGCTGGTAATTCTTGGGGACCATGCTGAAAGGAGAGGTAACACCTGAAGCTCAGAGTGGAAGTCAGCACCTATGAAGCAAAGTTATATATGCATGGCCAGAGAGAAAGTGGCTTGAGTTTGGGCACTAGGCTGAAAATGAGCAAGTCACAGAAAGAGAGTCAACATGGGCAGAGCAAAGCTCTTTGGATGTACACAGCTGGAAGAACAATGCTTTGAGTTAGATGGGTTCACCCCTGTAACAGGTGGTAAGGCTGTGTACAAAAATGCCTGCATCAGAGAGAATGGACTGCAGACATGAATAATATATAGGCTTGAAGTAGTTGCCTTAGGGAAAATTGCATTACAAAATTAATGCATCATCTTTCTCTGTGTGCTATTTCCTTGCCTTTCTTCATGAGCATCCTATTTCTGTGGTCATTTGAGGGAATAAATTCATTACTGAGTTGAGGTAAAACTGAGAAGGATGGGACACAGAATCATTTATGGGTCCATTCTCCCAAGGTTGCACAGGTTAGGGTTCAGCTTCAGTATTGAGCAAAGCCCCCTGGTACCGATCAGCAATATGACAGACGAAGAGGAAATGAAAACAAGAGGCAATTCTATTCGTACTTGAATTCTTTGAATGAGTCTGGTGGGGGTTCTCCGGTGAAAGTTATTGAACTGGAGATGAAGAAACCATGAAAAGCGATGCTGCTGATAAGGATGTCTCCTGACTGATAGGCCTGCAGTGGGAACATGGGCTCCCAGATGCTGCATCGGAGAACGTGTGCTAGGCACATGCTTTGGGAAAACAGTGCCAGAAGCAAGACTTTTAAATGTAGCATCCTCAACACAATGTCTACTCTTTCCAAATACCAGACTTCCTTCTTTTCTTGGACAACACTTCATTCCTTGAAGTACGGCAACATGGAATTCCCTTCTGCTGACAGCATTGCCTGCTCATAGAAAAGTATCCAAGATTGCACCACAGGCAACTTGTTTTTTCCTAGTCCCTTCGTCTTCTCTATCTTGTAGTAGACTTATTTATGACTGCCTTCATGGTTTTCTGCTTAATGTGGCCTGTGGTCATTTCAAACTCTAGAGGGATTTCATGGAGTGGCAGGATTAATTACTGCCCTTTGCATAATTAAAATTCAAGTGAAGTACCAGTTCAAAGTTGCAATTACCCAGTTGAATTGCTGGTAAGGAGGCCAATATGTTTGTTTCATATAAACATGGGCCACTTAATGCTTGGAATGTTTTAATGAGACAGTGGAACAATCTTCCATTTGTGATATTTTCTGTGGGAAGGATATATGGAAATTAATCTTCTTTGTCATGCACACACAAAAGATATTGCTCAGTATAAGAAAAATGGTTCAGCATTGGGAGGTTAAAGGTTTGTTGCAATATTGGTAGGTAGGTAGTGCATGGGATTAAGCCATAGGACATTACACATTTACAAAGCCAGAAGATACAATTCTACAAAGGAGAGCTTCACAACTGCTGTGACAAAGGGGATAAAAACTAATACTGCACTGGTCATGTGCAAGAAAGTACCTCCTTCAAAACCTCCCTAGATCTTATCTTAGCTGCAGAGGCAAAATAGAAGCTATTTTCTCAAAATCAGACCATTCCTTTATAGCAGATATGAAGCCCCTCAATTTTTTTCTCTTTCCGCTCTCTATGTAGAGACTGTTTTGGAAATTTTCTGCTCAGCTCATTCTTTATAGCCGTTATAAGCATGTTATAACCCTCAAACATTGCCAGGTTTTTCTAACCCTACCCTAGTGCTAAAATTGGGTTGAACTACATAAAGAATGTAGGGATTTTTAAAGTGCAATGTTTCTGGAATTTTTCTACCCACTTAATTCTTTCTGCCCATTCTAAGCAAGCTCCAATCCTCCATACATACCCAGGGAACCATGCTTTTTTAACCAAACCCTATCCTCTAATTTTACCATAACCCTTAAATTGGGCAGAACTACAAAGAGTACGCATGGGTATTTAAAATGACAGGTTTCTGGAATTTTTATTCCCAACTCATTTTTTTTTCTGTGCATTCTAAGCATGTTCCAAGTCGCAAAACCATGCCTGGTTCCTTCATTTTCCTAACCCTAACCAGGAAATTAACCCTATCCCTAAAATTGGGCAGAACTACACAAAGCACACAGAGATGTATAAAATGTCAAAATTGTAGAATTTTTCTCTCCAGCTCATTCTTCTTTGCCCATTCTTAGCATGTCCAAATCCTCAAAACCATGCCCAGATCCTTCATTTATCTAGCCCTAATCCTAACCTGGAAATTAACCCTACCCCTAAAATTCAGCAGAACCTCATAAAGTACACAAGGATTTTAAAAATGTGAGGTATGTGGAAATTTTCTGCCCAGCTCATACTTTATGCCCATTTTAAGAATGTTCCAAGCCTCGAAATCATGCCTGGTGTGAAGGATCAGTGGGGCTTGCCATCTCCTATTCAGGAGCAAGCCAAGTGAGACACACCATAGGGAGTGAAGAGATGGTGAAGCCGACATGGGGGGCGGGGGCGGGTGGCAGAAGTGCTGGCAATGGGGTGTTGAGCAGAGGACCTGTGTGCCCAGCCCAGCACCAAGTCCCTGGTATGCAGGGGCTTCCCCCAGGAAAAGAGCAATGATGGTGGGGGACAGAAGGGGCATGGCACCGATTGTATAAAGAGGAACATAAGGAAAGGGAGGGGGAGGAGGATGTCACTTGGAGAGAGGAGGGGTGGTGGTGGTGAGAGGAGCAAGACAGTGGGAGGACAGGGCTTGGGAGGCAAGAAGACAGCTTAAACCCCAATGGCTGGAGCAGAGGCAGGAGCCCGAGGGAGGACATAGCACACCCTTCTCCCCTGGGAAGAGTGTTGTGTGCCGCGGTTTTACGGATGAGACCAGAGACTAGTTGGAATTTTCGAGAGGAGGTTTATTACCTGCAGGGACCACACTCGTTGGAGTGCGGTCCCGAGCAGAAGAAAGCAGCGTTTTTATACTCTTTTACAACTATGCAGGTGCTTGAATAACAGTGAACAATAGGGGAAACCCACTGAGCCCCATTTGCACATTTTTCATGCTAAAGCAAGCGGGGGTACAAGGGTGTAACGTCTGCGGTTATGCTTGAGCGTAGCCTGCTTTGTTTTCATCCTTGCATAGCGTGGACATTCGTAGGGGTTCTTGTTCTCATGCGAACAGGACACCCTGATCATGCTTTTTACCCGTGACGAGCCATGCCCTGGCTGCATGTTTGATTATGAGGGGGGTTAAAACAAAGAGGGGTCCCTGTGAGGCAGAGGTTCAGCCCAGGGACAGTTGGAGAAGGGGAGAAAAAGTGCCCTCTGGTGCGTGAGTACAGAGAGGAGCCGTCCAGGAAGGGAAGTGTGCATGTGAATGCTGAGACTTTGAAAAAGCAGGTGGCAACTCCTGGAGGCATGGCCAGGCAACATTGGAGGCATCGCTCCCTACCCTAGTAGAGTATACCTACCAGAAGAGAGACAGCCCCCTCTTCAACCTGTGAAAAGTGCCCAGGAACCTCTGCAGTATCTGTAGCCATTAAAACACTAAAGGCATTGCACAGCTGATTAGGAATGTGTATCTTGAGATAAGCGACCCTACCCCCTCAATCTACAACACTCGGTTCCTCCATTTTTCAAACCCTAACCTGGAAATTAACCCAAACCCTAAAACTGGGCTGACCAACAAAAAGCAAGAAGGGATATATAGAATGCAAACTTCCTAGACTTTTTCTAGTCAGCAAACTCTTTCTGCCCTTTCTAAGCTCATTCCAAGCCTCAGAACCACGCCAGATTCTCTCTTTTTTTCTAACCGTAATCCTAACTGTAACCCTACATTTGGGCTTAAATGCAAGGGACATTCAAGCATATTTAAAATGTCAACTTTCTGGAATTTTTCTGCCCAGCTCATTATTTATGCCCTTTCTAAACACTACCCAAGCCTCAGAATGGAGCCAGGGAACCTTCCTTCTTTAACCTGAACCCTACCTCGAATTTTCACCCAAATCCTACTACTGGGCTGAATGACACAGAGCTTGCAGGCATTTTTAAATTATCAGATTTCTGGAAATTTTCTGCCCAGCTAATTCTTTTTGCACATTCTAAACATGTTCCAAGTCTCAGAATGTAACAAGGGAACTCTGTTTTTCTAACTCTATCCCTAATCCTGAAATTTCCCTGACCCTACTATTGGGCTGAATGACACAGAGTATGCAGGCATTTTTAAATTGGCAGCTTTTTCAGTCCATCTCATTCTTTTTACCTATTCTAAACACCTTCCAAATCTCAGAACGGAGCCAGGGAACCTTCTTTTTTAACTCCTATCCCTATCCTGGATTTTCACCCTAACCCTATTACTGGGCTGAATGATACAGAGCATGCAGACACTTTCAAATTGCCAGTTTTCTGGAATTTTCCTGTCCAACTTATTCTTTCTGAGCATTTTAAGCACCATCCAACCCTCAGAACAACACCAGGATCTCTCTTTTTTGTAACCCTAATCCTAACCCGCAAAATAATCCTAACCCTAAAATTGGGCTTAAACACAAGAGGAATGCAAGCATATTTAAACTGTCATCTTTCTGGAATTTTTCTGCTCATCTCATTCTTTTTGCCCATTCTAAAAATGTTCCAAGCATCAGAACATAACCAGGGCACTTTGTTTTTCAAACCCTAACCCTAAGCCCAAATTTTCCCTAACCGTACTTTTGGGCACAATGACACAGAGCATGCAGACATTTTCAAACTGTCATCTTTCTGGAGTTTTTCTGCCCATCTCATTCTTCTTGCCCACTCTAAACACTTCCCAACTCTCAGAATGTAAGCAGGGCTCATTGTTTTTCTAATCCTAACCCTAACTCCAAATTTTCTGTAATGCTAAAATTGGACTGAGTGGCACAGAGTATGCAGACAAAAAGAATTTAGCTGGACATAAAAATTCCAGAAGCTGATATTTGCATAATGCATGCAAGCCTCTTACATTTAAACCCAATTTTAGGGTTTGGGTTATTTTCCGGGTTAGGGTTAGAACAAAGAGGGACCCTAGTTGGTTATGAGGCTTGGAACATACTTAGAATGGGCAGAAAAATTCCTGAAAGCTGGCAATTTTAAAAAGTCTGCATGTTCTTTAAACTGAGTGCCTGTATTTTTATCCTCTTTTCCTATCCTTTTCCACTCTTGCCCTTACTTGCTCTTACTGTATATAATAGGTTGGAATTCTTCTTTTTTAATACTTTAAAGCAAAACATCTATAATAAACAGAGAAAGCTGAAATAGACAAAGTTGCCAAGGGAATTCAATACCAATCCAATCTATGCAATCAGCCTGCAAAATCTATCCCTTTCTCTGTCTTTCAACATTCCAGAAAAATGTAACATGAAAGAAATCCTTAATCTATAAAACAACAAATCCTGCAATCACTTCGGATCCTCTGCAGCTATCACTATATTTTCTAAACACCGCAGATTCACTTATGCTGCACATGCCTCTAACAATCTTCTAATCAGCATACTCCACCAATCCATTTCTCCATGCTTTGGTTGTTGGGGGCTCCAGTGATCTCTGTCAACTACACTTCTAACTCTGTCATATTCCCTTAATGGCTCTCTAACACTATATTCTTAAGATTCATGAAAAAGTGCTTTAATTCTCTTAAAAAAACCTCAATGTATTAATATTAATTGATGTTATCTTCATTCTGTCTCTAAAACGCGATCTGAGGAGCTCAGACAACTATCTCTTTTCAAATTTGTCATCAACTTTCCAGTATCCATTTCAGATTTCCTTCTGACATTAATTCTTCTCTTCTCTGCTCTGCTTCTCTGCACTTCACATTTCTTCATATCCTCACATTTCTTCAAATATCTTAAAATCTGAATTGCAGCCAAAATCACAGCCTCAGTTCTCAACTGTCTGAAAATTGCTATTATCCTTCTTCTAAATTCAAAAGGCACAATTAAGCAGAAAAAAATCCCCTAGCTCCTACTTTCATGCCAAAGTCAGTTTACACTATTTGTAACTCTTAGTTCTAAAGTAGAGACATTAAACAACATTGCAAATGAGATGTTGTCTGTCAACAAAAGATTATCAGTTTCAGATATGGAAATATGAAAACAAAAATTCCTTAAGAGTCCAAGTTGCATCAAATTGGTGTGTTATTCCCTTGGCAGTGGAATAAGATAAAAAGAAATAATAAAAACTAAAAGAAAAATCAAAAAAGAAAGGAAAAGGACTAAGTGTGTGGGGGAATTAACTTTAATAATTGTTTCCAGTTTTACCTTATGAGGTCATCTTGATGTAATCAGAACTGTAGACCAAGAGTCTTGATGCTCACCTGTTGTTTAGAGAGGTAAACAACCCTCAGGGTGGTTTATACTCACCCAAACATGATAAGGCAGAAAGCAGCAAAAATCAATGCTGCTTCATCAAGTTGCCATTCCCCAGAGGTCCTCAGTAAGTCTTCTTCAGTGAAGTGCACTCTATTCAGTGCTTAAGACCAAGTCTTCCTTATCGGGGTCCAAGTTGGATAAAATGTAAGATAGCACATGTTAATCCCCCTTTTTCCAGATCTCCCCAAATGTTCCGTGAGACTCAAGGCCAACATGTTGGGTTGCAATGGATCATCAAGAGCCCTAGGCTACCTTGCAGGGTTGTGTCTTCCTTCTTTCACAACTTCAATGCTTATTCAGCTGCCCCACCTCTGGACATGCATCCACAGTGGGCAGGACATTATGTAAGCATCCAAAACTGAAAATTGTGATGTATTTATTTTCAATGCCTCTTTTTTCTCCTGAAATAAATGACTAATGCCCAGCAAGTTCAGAACATTTCCAGGTACATAAAACGTATGCTTTATTTTCTTTGAGCTCTCCCATCTTCCGGGTTAAATGGGCCTACAGAACTCAATTAATACAAATGGGTTTTCTTGCTTCCAATTAACATTGGCTATCAGTGTTGTGGCATTAAGAACATAAGAATATTAAGCCATGCTGGATCTAGCCCAGCATTGCATATATATGGTGGAAAACCAGCTGCCCACAGGATTCCTCAAGCAAAATGGGTACAAGGCCTCCTCCTGCCCAAGTTTTTCAGCAACTGCTGTATGTAAACTTGCCAGCTCTGCTAAAGAAGGTAGCACATAGCCAGCATGACCATTGGGAAAATGCTGGAAACATTAATGACACCTGAATTCTGGATGGTTGAAGGCTGCTATGCAGAAAGGAACACCAAAATATGTGTCTCTGCTTCCACAGCCGACATGGGAGTTCCCCAGAGATCATCTGGGGATGTTCTTAGCTTGGGGTAAGAAAAGTGTTGTGGTGGATGCATGGAGGAGGGGTGGATTCCATTAAATTCTGTGGACTTGGGTCTTTGTTCTCTGTTATCCTTGCTGTGACCCTGAATGGATTTTCCTTGTAAGCATATGCAGTGTTTGTGCAGCACTCTCCAGGAATGGAGATCTCCACAACTGCTAGGACCATCCTTCCATGCCACATTTTTTAAATTTATTTAAAGTTTTTGTATCCTGCCTTTTACACTATCTCAGGGCAATGATGTTTTGTGCAGTAGTGGTTTGTGCTGCACCAGCTGACATGGAACTTGCTGAAGGGAAGCTTACCAGGTATGGAGCCCAGGGCAACAATTAGTGGTGTGTGTCTCCCACAACATATGCAGCAGCTGCTTCTCTTGCCAGTTGCTCAACCTTTGTTCCATGGTAATTTGTGGGCTTCCTCTTGGCATGGCTCACTTTGCAGGACTGGGATGAACGTGAAAGGAAGTCTTCAGATCTCAGGTGTATGGCTGTGGTTCATTCCAACACTATTCTTAGATTTTTATCTTATTGATGGAGCAGGTTGGTACCCTCTGTAGTCTCTATCTACACATAAGCAGAGATGTGCAAGGAATCTCATTGGTGTAGGAAATTCACTGGATTCCCTGGTTTTGTCTACCCAGACTCCAGTTCACTTAGCTGCACAGTCCACCTTCCTGGTGAGCATTCCCAGGCTTTATGGAATACTCAGTGGGAAGCAAGCCCATGTGCTGTGCAAGGAGCACCATACCTTCATGCCCTATGCTGCTCCTGGCAGTGAGTGGGGAAGAAGCTTGGCTACCAGGAATGGGGTAAGTCAAAGCTGGAAGTCCGAGCATGAAGTAGCGACTAGAGCAGCTCATGTTGCTGAAGCAAAGAGCAGCAGTGCAGGGAATATTCAGTTCTCTGGGCTTCCAGCAGCACTGCATTATTGTCACCCACCTGTTCCCGGAAAGTACCTCTAGGTGTTTCTCTGATACGTGGTTTTCTGGTCCTGCTGGAACCCTGGCCCTGCTGGAACTTCCTTGTTGAATTATGCTCTGATTCTGATAACAGGTAGGAAAATAAGATGTTCTAAATACTCCATACATCAGTTCCTGTACTTTGTCAGGCAACTAAAAGGGATCAGGGAACATAACGAGTAGAAATTTTCATACTGATATAATTTTGATTCACTTCTCCAAAGCTGCACCATCTACTTGACTATCAATGAAACTGAAGAACAGGAATGCATTCTTCAGTACTTTCTTCTAATTAGCTGTTCTCTGTTGTTCATCTCCGGTCTCAGTACTATAATGTAGCATTTGGGGAAAAAGATGGGACACAGCAATCCTGAGCTAGAAGCTAAGATGGAGAAGATCTCCACAGTCACCATGTATTTCCCCTTGGTGCTGAGATAAGAGGGAACAAAGGATATCCAAACACTGCAAAAGACCAGCATGCTGAAAGTGATGAACTTGGCTTCGTTGAAGCTGCCAGGCAGCTTCCTGGACAGGAAGGCCACAGTGAAACTGACACTTGCAAGAAGTCCCATGTATCCCAATGCACAGTAAAACATCATCACTGAGCCCTCATTACATTCCAGTATGATTTCTTCAGCCACAGAGAAGAGGTCGACATCTGGGAATGGGGGTGAATTTCCCAGCCATATGCTACAGATGCCTGCTTTGATGAGGGAGCAGGAAAGGACAATGAGACTGGCCTTCTCCCTTCCCAACCACTTCCTCATCCTGGATCCTGGCTGAGTGGCCATGAAAGCCAGAACCAAGAGGGTTTTTGCCAGCACAGAGGAAACAGCCACTGAGAAGATGGTGGCAAAGGCAGCTTGTCGGAGGAGGCAGGTGACCTCCTGAGGCTCACCAATGAAGAGCAAAGCACAAAGGAAGCAGAGCAGGAGGGAGCTGAGCAGAGTGTAGGTGAGCTTCTGGTTGTTTGCTTTGACTATGGGAGTCCTGTGGTTCTTCACAAACACAGCCAGCACCAGAACTGTGATGAAAGCAAAAGCAAGAGCAAGAAGGGCTAAAGTGAGCCCCAAAGCTTCTTCATAGGACAAGAAGGTTGTGTTCTTTGGAAGACAGAAATCACGATTTGTGTTTGGATACTCTGCATATGAGCATGGATTACAATCATTCATGTCTAGAGAAAATGAAGGAAAGAGATGGCATTGATATGATGAAAAGAAGACAGGCAAGCCAAAAGAAAAAAAATCAATAACATAAATCTTAGTATGAAAGGAAATCTGAACTGTCTGAATACAGAAATGGAGCAGAGTCAGCCTCAGACTCTAGACTGAAATCTGGCCTACTCTTGGTGTTTTAACATCACTAACCAGGGCATATTGGGATGACTACATTTAACTTTCCCATAATGCAGAAATTTCCCCCTCAGTCTGGAAGTTAAATGTGCCTACTTTGTTGCTAGTGGACTTGGGATGACTCTCTGACAACCCAGAGTGAAATTGGTGAACCAGTAATGTCTCCTTTTTCTTCCTTCCTTTTTCTTACTCCCAGCTGATTCTCACCCCTGCCCGCAACTCACTTCTCTTCTCTCACCATTGACCAGGTGATCTTCAGAGAAGTGATGCTCTCCAGCTAGCTGCTGGGTGATAGCAGCAACTGTCCACTCTGGCTAAGTAGATCTGTGATTCTTTCCTTGGTACCATGCTCTGTTTCCAGATTTGAACAAAACAGCAAGCTGTTCCAGTATCAAAAAAATATAGAATAGTTCACTGTTGTGGTCTTTGTTTTTTAATAAACCATGAAATCCATGATTGGTTTGGATGACTAACTTGATGGGCTTCTGTAAAAAAGCAATCATTGCTGGTTGTGTGCTGCAAATCTACCCAGAAAGTATTTTATTTTATTGATCTGTTACATTTCTATGTCTCCCAAAGGTTATAGCTTTCTGAGTGGTTCAGAAGAACTAGTTTAGCACTACAGTGTAAAGCAAAAGTAATTCCCAAACCAAAACTCAGGAGCAACACAAAGGCTTAGATACAGCTAAGCATTTAGAACAACAGACACTGAAAAGATATGATGTATCTGCACCAGATGCTGGAAGGAGCACAATCTGAATGCCAGACAAATTCTCTGGGAAGTTCCTTCCACAAGTGTGGTGGCACAGAGAGGTTTCTTTCACAGTAGACAACAGCTTCACTTCCCATAGCAGGGACTTCCAAATAAGAAAGAGTTGTGGCAAGTATATATCTCTTTTTACTTTGATTTACAGTATTGCTATACCATCTATATTTTCATAGAAAATACTGGGATGAGTTACAATAATAAAAATATTAAAACAATTTACAATACTTCAATAAAATAGGATGACATAGTATATTTTAACATAGGATGATCCTATTGGTAAACAGGCTACATGCCATGTAGGGCTTTTAATGTTAATTCTAAGCAGATATCAGACTAGATATATTGATGATATGTTGACCCACACCTTCAGTGATTTCATGTAGACATGGAACAAGAGAGTGGATAAGACAGAGCACTGTGGAACTCCATTGCATGACTGCCAAGGCATAGTGCAACTATCAGGGATTATCCATCCCAGCAACAGTTGAATCACTGCAGTCTTGTGTCTCCAAGTGATAACCAAGACAGCTGATTCAGAAAGATACTATGGTTCAAAGTATCGAGAACCAGTGAGGGGTGTAAGGGAATCAACATGTTTCCTCTTTTCTTTTTCCATCCCTTACAAAACCATCTGATTCCATTCGAACCACTGAAGAACAATCACTCCAATGTACAAACAGCCACTCTGAATGTCTATCCAATGAATGCCCATTGCCTACCCTCCTGAGTTGCGATCTTCCCAGCTGGACATGGGATGCAATCATAGCAGCAATATGGCTCCCCCTCCTTCACTTTCTTGCTAGAGCCTGGACGGCAACTCTCAGAGCACACAGAAGGTGGTCGTGTCTAATACATGAATTAAAAAGCAGGATAAATATAGGGACATAAACTTTATACATGGAAGATTCTCAAGTCTATGGACAGGTTAAATAACTGACCCTGCATTTCAGGAATGTGTGAATCTTAATTTACTACCACATATTGCTAGTTTTCTTTCTTTGGTGGTGAGTGCCCTTGAAGACCCCCAGTTTGAAGGAAGAAAAACAGAAAATGATAGAATAATTGACTGAATGAGGCCACTTCTTGAATTTGCATTTCTTGACTATGTGTAAGATACTACCTTAGAAAGTTGCATTGTCCTGCTTAAGCATTTATTAATTTCAAAATGTTCAGGATCACACTTCTTTGGATGCCAGTAAAATCATCATTGCAGATGTGCTTCAGCAGCACACTTTGAACCGAAAAGTAAAAGACTACAGAAGGTAGAGATCTGGAATTAATTGAGAAGCTATGGGAACAACAAAGTCATGGTAATATCTATCCATATGTTTCTTTGATCTCTTTTGTGATTCAGGCTGGAAGAAAACCAAAGGATGGGCTGAAGGACATGAGATTCACCCAATATGCAGAGATAGCATGTTATTTCACTTTCAATGGAGAAATAGTAGTACAACTTACAAAGACTCCAGGGCAACACCACACCAGCATACAAGAGAAGCTGGTGCACCTTTATTACAGACCACCTGTATTGCAGCCAGGGACTCGATGGGGAACAACAGACTTACTTCCAAAGTTATACTCCTTGGAATGATGACAAATGGTGATGGAACTTTACATGAAGGACTGAAGCAGTTTATGTTAAATACCTTGGATTAAGATCAATGAGCAAAGAAATCCTGACCTGATAACCATTGTATCATGTGCTCATCTTCATAGCAGATTACTGAATAGGACCTAATTCTTCAAAAAGAAATAGCATGCTTACAACATAGTAACATGCATTAAATAATAACTGAAAGAGATGCTATAAGTGAAATGGAAAGGCAGCCTTCAGGGATGCGTGGCTGATGTTCCTTGCTCTCTTGAATTAGAAGTGGAGAAGACAACATGTAGTGTAATTTTGGTGATGTCAGTCTTGGAATATGGGTCCAAACAAGGAAAGTGGGAAGTGAAGCTTATGGGAAAAACAGAGGTGACCTTTCTCCCACTTCCTCCCGCCCTGCTTTTTTTTCCCAGATGGATGTTTGCTTGTTCAGCAGGACTGGTTTAGCCAGAGAGAACAACACTGGAGCTGGGTCAAGATATCTTGGCCTCTCTAACATGCTTCCTTTCCCCCAAATGCCCTCCACCCTCTGGTCTGCCTCTCTGAGGTCACGATACCATTCAAGCAGAGCACCAATGTCGTTCTCTCTGCATGATCTGTGAGGGAAGATGTACAGGCATGTTTCACAGTTCTGCTCTGGACAACCAGAAAAGAACTGTGATGGCTCAGCTGCTTTCTTGCTTTCAGAGAAGGTGTCAGAAGACAATTTTTGATGTTTTCTAAAAAGTAGCAATTTAAAATAATTTAAAAAGAAGGCATTAACTATGCAAGCCACTAATGAAGGTGAAAGATAATTTTTAAATGGGGCACGAAATGTATCATCAACATTGGAATGGGCAGTAATTGCCCATTCGCCGAGGCTTACGTGAATGGGGCAGCATATGTCTGCTAAATAAATAAATAATAATTAAATGCTGCTTTTTAAAAAGCCCTTGAAAATGACTTTTTCAGATAGGAGATATCTTTGCTTTTTGATTGACTTTCCAGCAATGACTTATATGTGTTAAACATTTTATTAGCATGTCACTCAGAAAGTTGTATGTTAGAAGACTCTGAGTCCTGCTGTGTGAAAGTTGGACTGGTGGAAATCTAAAGTCTATGGCTGGTGCCAATTCTGTGTCTTGCTAAATATTCTCAACCCAGCTGGCAGTAGGCACAATAACATTAGACAGCCATTTAGAATGACATCTCGCTGTATTTGCATGGCAGCCATTTAGTGAGTATTAAAAATCCTGGCTGTGATATTCCATACAATAAAAACAGACATGAATTAAATGTTTTTAAGTTGCTTCCAGCTGTTTTATGTAACTGGCCAGGAAAGTCCTCTCTCTTTTATGTCTTCACTTCACCCAATATGCTTCTTTCAATCCAAATGTCTTTTGCATGATGCTTTGTTGGACTTGACTGAAATGAATGCCAGCAGCACTGCAGATCAGTGCTTGCTCCAAAGATCTGATCAATGGCTCCTACCTGATTAAAACAATGGTTCCATGAAATGGCATCCTCATCAATGGTGAGTTTTGGACCTGTAGAAGCCTGGAGATCGATCCTTCCAACTTTCACAGGGAGAAAAGATTCATTGGGAAAACAGTTATAATTGATAACATCAAACCCAGCCACCACCTCCCCTTTCTCATTGAAAGAAACCTTGTTCTGAGCACTGTTATTAAATGAGACTCCTCTGAGAAACTGATGGAGCTAAAGGAAACAAGGAAAAAGGAAACAAGAAGGTTTAGAAGAGGGCAATTTAGTGCACAAAGTTAAGTTCTAGCATCAGGTGGAGGATAATTAATTATTAATAATTTAGAAAATTCAGGGGTGAGAAGGCTGAGTGAAAAAATGCTACTCATGTATTGAACAGGAGTAATATTTGTGCTTTTCTTTATGGCCATTTTGAAGACCTCAAGACAGCTTTAAATAACTTTCCCCATTTCAGTTTTTTTAGATCCCTCTAAATCTGTTATGCTGAAAGTAGATGATTGACTCCAAACCACATATTGAGCTTAGAGACTAAGTGTGGGCTACAACATGAATCTTTCCAGTCCAATACTCAGATGAGGAAAGCAGGCAAAGTTGACCAATATTGAAGTACAGCTGGAGGGAGAGAAATTTGGAGTATAATTAGACAAAGAATATAAAGACTCTTGTCACAGTAAAAGACAAGGGGGTTTCACATTTGAGTACTTGGAGAACATTACCCGCCATGGCTCTCCATTCCTAAACTTCTGTCCATTAGTCTCCATGATTGCCCTGTGTTTGACTTCAGATGCGGACCTGGCATGCAAAGCGTGGGCCACAGCATAGACTGCATTGTAGATACTGTAGCTGTGGCCAGTCATACTCATCTCAAAGAAAGATCCAGGAAGGCTCTCAAGCCTTTCCTTCCCAGTGCAGATCTTCTCTTCCACATCCACTGCTAATGAAGTTGGGAAAAGACAGCCAAAAGCTTGTTGCCAAAAGATCATGAGAAAATCATCTCCTTTTGTGCTGATTGTATTTCTGCTCTCCTCAAAAACTTTGAATCCTAGTATGTCATTAGACTGAATCCTCAAGGACAGTGTCCCATGGAATATTTCTGTGTCCCAATTCCTTTGATAGACAAATGCATTGATCTCCATGTGGGCTGAGATTATCCATACTTTGCCTTTTAGTTGGCTCATCCTGTTCTTTACTTCAGCTAGATATGGCAACCATCTAAATAGTGCAAAGGAATATTACTCTCCATGTGCCACCACTACATTGGTTTTGCTGTCCACCAGTTTATCATATATTTTTGCCCCCTTTTCTAACATAGCATTAAGTGTAGTGATGTGGGTGTATGGGAGGAGTTTCTCTATGAAAGCAAAACAGACACCTTGCTTGGAAAATATTGGAAAGACAGTTTGCAGGAATCTTTCTCCATTGTCATTATCCATAAAAACAAGTCCAATCCATGTCCAGCTGAAATGTAGTAGCAAAGAGAGAATTCCCTCATACTGCAGAGATTCGTGAGGAATCATCTGATAGAAGGGCAGTCCTGGGGTCTTATCATTCATAACAGGACCCACACCATATATGAGCTAAGGGGAGGATGAAGGAATGTTAGAATATGGCATTAATGATTGGAACAAGTTCTGTATAATCCACATGCATACAGCCAGTAATTCTGAGAAGCACTGCATGATTTGTGAAGCTTATTTTTTCCAAACTATCTATAACACCTTCCCACATTCAGGAGTCCTCAATATGTGTTTGAGGACCATTCTCATGGTTCCCAGACATCATGGCTTGATGAGAGTTGGACTGCAACATTCCCACTATCCCTCTTCAAGAAGTGTTGGAATAATCATGAATGTGCATGTTGTACAGGCATCTCATTTTTGATGATATCAGAGTTAAGACTAAGAACTATAATTTACTGAAATAACATGGAAAGAGGGAAATAGCTTTACAATCAAAAGTTTAAGAAACCCATCAAATCAATTGAAGTAACTCACACAATGAGGTCACTATTTCCAAGCTTAATAGAGAGACAGGGCAATTCAGTTATTCAGTTCATGACAATTCAATGGAACTTGACAGTTTGACCTGTGGAGATACCTGCATTTCAATGAGATGGTCCATACATTCTCATCTTTGGTTCACCATAACTGTCAGATTGAACTACTTCCTGATTTCCACATCCATGTTATGTCAAATCACTTTGCCAAATAATAATAATATTTCTGTCTATGCTGCTAAATGCTAAAGTTAAAATATAACTCCTGTACCACTTTACACCTCATGGAGAGCTACAATTTAGAAGTTGAAATCTCAAAGGACTTTGACAGATGGGCATCTTATACTGCACATTTATGAGGAAAGTTTAAAATGTTTAAAATAAATGCAATGACTCAAATTGTGCAGGTTTTGTTACATTTATATATTTCTACCACATTAGCATTTCCAGGATTGTAACTTTTCTGGAGTAATTGTTTATGGTGTTCTACCCCAGTGTAAATTGTTGTCTAGCACTAGATTGCAAACAATGACTATATTTTATATTATTTTATCTTTATTCTCTTAGGTGTGGTTTGTTACAGCATGTAACACAATGGCAAAATAATTTTTTAAAGGTCACAGAAACTTTTATCATAGTAATCATAATAGCAAGCTAAATGATGGCTACTAGTAATGAGAATAGATATAAAATAACCTAGTTCTAGTGGTTAGGACATATATCCAGTCATCTTATGTTGGAATATCAGTCCAAATATTAATATAGGTTCACTCAGGCAGAAGGTAGCACTATATGCTTTGATAGGGAACCCCAGTATGAGGAGAGAATAATGTAATCTCACATTATGCAAACTGAGTAAAGAGAAGGAGAAGAATAACTCATCTGCATCATTTCATTGCATCAATTTCCCAGACAAGAGATGGAAACAACCAAGGACCAAGGAACAACCAACAAGCAAGGAACTGTAACTGTGTATCTATATCCACCTCTCTTACTCAGAAAAAGGAAGAGGATTCCTACCTGTGGCATCTTGTAGATATCCAAAGTATTTGCCATATTGAGGGAGATTTGGGAGTCCAATGACCCAATGACTGCAATTAGATTATTGCTGATGCCACATGCATAGTTAGGGACCAATCTCTTCTGCATTGACAGAAGTCGCAGGGTGGCCTGACAGGTTCTCCTTGCATTGTCATAGCTGTCGTAGACACGGAAGCCCAAAGTGCAGTTGGGCAGTATGTGAGGGCTCTCATTGATCTCTTGTACTGCAAATGCCAAGGCCAGGAGATGCTGATAATTTTTAGGGATCATACTAAAAGGAGAGGCAACAACTGAGGATCAGAATGGAAGTCAGCACCTATGAAGCAAAGCTATATGCAGTCAGAAACAAGTTGTCTTCAGTTTGGGCACTAGGCTGAAAAAGAACTTTTCATGGAATGAAAGTCAACATGGACAGAGAAAAGCTATATGGATATATACAGTAGGAAGCAAACTGAGTTGATTTTGATGGTGCTCAGTGTCTGGTAAAAGGTGGAAAGGCTGTGTACAAAAATGCCTGAATTAGAGAGAATGAGCTGCAGACATGAATACTGTGGAAAATATGTTAAAAATATGTAGTCTTGAGGAAGTGGCCTTAGAGAAAATAGCATTACAAAATTAATGCAGCATCTTTGTGCGTGTGCTGTTTCCCTGCCTTCATGTGTGTGCAGTCTGATTCTGTGGTAAAATTGGAGGGAATAAACTCATGACTGAGTTGATGTAAAATGGGCAAGGATGGGACACAGAGTCATTTATGGGTCCATTCTCCCAGTGGTGTGCAGGTAAGGCTGCAGCTTCAGCCACAGTTTTGAGGCAAGTGGTCTGGGACTGATCAGTGCTGTGAAAGATGAAGAGGAAATAAAAACAAGCAGCAATTGAATCCATACATTAATTCTTTGAGTGAGTCTGCTGGGGGTTCTTCGGTGAAAGTTATTGAACCGGAGATAAAGACACCATGAAAAGCGATGCCGCCGATAAGGGTGTCTCCTGACTGATAGGCCTGCAATGGGAAGGGTGGCTCCCAGATGCTGCATCTGAGAATGTGCCTCAGGCACACATTTTGGGAAAAGAGTGCCAGAAGCAAGACCTCCAAAAGCACCATTCTCATCACAATGCCAAGCCTTTCCAAATAACAGATGTCCCTCTTTTCTTTGAGAACTCTTCAGTCCTTGAAGCACAACAACATGGAATTCTCTTCTCTAGTGGTAGTTTTTTTAGTGCTGACAGCTCTGTCTGCAGATTGAAAAAATTCGAAGATCACATCACATGCACCTTGCCTGTTCCCAGTCCCTTCCTCATTCCTTCCATGTTCTAGGCATATTTATGACAGCCTCATGGTTTCCAGAGGCCATTTGGAACCATATAGAGATTTTATGGAGCAACAGGATTAATTGCTGCCTTTTTGGTAATTAAAATGCAAGAAGCACCAGTTCAAGGCTGCAATTACCATGTTGCCTTGCTGTGGGGGAGGTTATGTTTGTTGCATCCAAACATGGACCACTTAACGGCTGGATGCCTCAATGAGAGAGCAGATGTATTTTCCATTTGTGATATTTTCTGTGTGCAAGGTATCATGGAAATTAATCTTTTTTTGTCATATGCACACAAAGATATTAGTCAGTTTAAGAAAAAAAGCTAAAGGTTTAGTAGGGTAAAGGTTTACTTCTAATATAGGTATGTAGGTATTTTATTGTATTAAACCATAGGCCATTACACATTTACAGAGTCAGAAGATAGAATTCTGCAAATGAGAGCTTCAAATCTGCTGTAAAAAAATAATACTGAAAGAGTTAAAAAGGGATAAAACTAAAAATGGAGCCATCATGTTCAAGAAACTAACTCCATCAAAACCTCCCTAGATCTTATCTTAGCTGCAAAGGCAAAAAGAGGAAGCGTATGACACTTGTGCATCAAGGTCTGAAAACAGCAATACTATTTTCTCAGAATCAGAAAAACATGCATGTAAAGCACATAAGAAACCCATCGAAAATTGTTCTCCTTGGTCTGTATATAGGGAGCAATGCATATGCAATGAGGAAGGATCTCCTGTTTGAGCAATCCACAGGTCCATTTGTGGTGCTCCACTGGATTTGGGAAAATTGGCCAAACAGGATATTTGTATGCATTGGGACAGGAGAATTGGGACAGGAGAATTTGTTCCTATTCCAATGTTTTAGAACAGTGAGGTGCATGAGACCTAAGACAAGGGAGCCTAATTTGTCTGACAGCATCTCTGTAGAGCACATGGTGCAGAAATGGAAGTCTCATGTTGATATTCAGTACACATTCATATAAACACATAAAAATGAAATGGAATCAAATGTTGCTGCCTAAACAATGAACCCAACATAGAATGCTTTTTTTTTTTTTTGCATACCCATTTATTCCAGAGCAAGCCAATTGATAAAGTGTTTCAATGGTACTGAGACCAAGTTCCAACATAGAGGTCAGGAATTTTCATTCAGGAAGCAGGAGATTTTACACAAACTTCCTCCTTGAAGTAGTTCTTGTGCACAGTCAGGAAGCTCATCCTGTGTGTTCATTCATGTGTGGAAAGGAGAGAGCCATTTGGTATTATTCGCAATACTTAATGGAATAATACTCCCACAATTGTTGAATCAGTGTGTTCTATTAATCATGTAGAATTGCCCAAGTAATAAATAATATACCTGTACTGGTGTCTGCTGTATAAAAGAACTTTTGCGGACGTTAGTCATTGACCCTCTATGGCACTCCACTCACAAGGGAGCACTTGCATAATAATTAGAAAGTGACTGATGCACACAGTGACAACAATGTGAATGTAAAAAGTCAAATGATGGATTGGTGCATTTGCTTCAGGGGTAGAAAAATCCTGCACTTTCAGTTTCTCTTGAACTGGGGTACTTGAACAAAATTTCAAGACGTTCATAGACATTCCGGAAGCATATTATGGCCACTTGTTCTAATACATGCATGTTATTCAATATGAACTCTAAGCTATGAGCCCTCACAGAGAGTCCATGGCTAATAGAGTGGTAGAAAAGCCAAATAGATAGATAGATAGATAGATAGATAGATAGATAGATAGATAGATAGATAGAACCAAGCAGTGTACTTAAT